AGTGCCACTCTGGTCAAAGGCAAAGCCAGAGTCCAGTTTGGCGCAAACAAAGTGAGTGACAGGCGGGGGGGGGCTTTCCTTCCTTCCTTCCTTCCTTCCTTCCTTCCTTCCTTCCTTTCATCCATCCATCCCTCCTTCCTTCTATCCCTCCCTCCTGCCTTCTTTCTCAATTTTCTTCCTTCCTTTCCCCCGCTCTTCCTTTCCTTCCTTCCCTTTCCCTTCCTTCCTTCCTTCCTCCCTTCCTTTCCCTTCCTTCCTTCCTTCCTTCCTTCCATCCATCCATCCCTTCTTCCTTCTATCCCTCCCTCCTGCCTTCTTTCTCAATTTTCTTCCTTTCTCCCTCTCTTCCTTCCCAATTTCCTTCTTCCCTCCTGCCTTCCTGCCTTTTCTCAATTTTCTTCCTTCTTTCCGTCCCTCCCTTCTGCCTTTTCTCAAATTTTTTTTCTTCTTTCCCCTTTCCTTCCTTCTCAATTTTTACCCTGCTTTCTCAATTTTCTTCCTTCCCTCTCCTTTCTTTCCTTCCTTCCTCCCTCTGTACCTCTCCTTCCTTCCTCCCTTCCTGTCTTTTCCTTTCCTTCCTCCTTCCCTCCCTCCCTCCCCCCCTTTCCTTCTTCCTGCCTGCCTCCCCAATTTTCTTCCTTCCCTTCCCCCCTCTTTCATTCCTTCCTTTCCAATTTCCTCCTGCCTTCCCGCCTTCTCAATTTTCTTCCTTCCCTTTCCTTTCTTTGCTTCCTTCCTTCCCTCCATCCCTCTCCTTCCTTCCTTCCTTCCTGTCTTTTCTCAATTTTCTTCCTTCCTTTCCTTCCTTCCCAATTTCCTTCCTTCCCTTCCCTTTTTCCTCCCTCCCTCCCTCCCTCCCTTCCCCGGTCGAGTGGGAGAACCACGAGGAAAAAAGCAAACACTTAAAAGCCACCATCCCGGATCTCAGCCAACCTGGCTTGTTTTCAGAATATAAGGCATTAAACCTATGGACACAAGCCAAGAAATCCTGGTCTGTAGTAGGTTTATCTTCTTTGCTTTTGAAATTCTCTCTGCCTTAATTTATTTTATTTTTTTTACTAATATCTCAAGGCCTCAAAACATACCCAACTCAGCTTCCTCCTCCGCCTCCAACTCTTCCCCCCCCCATCACAACAACCCTGCGAGGTGGGCTCCGTTGCCTGCCCCTGCGTTGTCTCACTCTCTTTCGCGTCTCTCTTCCCCGCAGAATCAGTACAGCTTGACAAGAGCCCAGCAGTCGTACAAATCCCTGGTCCAGATCCACGAGAAGAACGGTAAGGCCCGGCTTTTAACAACTTATCACGGGGGACGGGCGTACGTCGAGGACCGCCTGCCTCCAAACTCCCCCCCTCCCTCCCATTAGTGGTGTCAAATCTTCAAATTTGAATCAGAAATTTGCTGACAGAACAATTGATCAGCGGAACGACTGGCCACCAGAAGTTGTGGACACTGGAAGTTTTTTAAGAAGAGATTAGATAGCCATTTGTCTGAAGGGGTGGAGGGGTTTCCTGCCTGAGCAGGGGGTTGGACTAGAAGACCTCCGAGGTCCCTTCCGACTCTGTTATTCTGCTTTCCTTCCTTTCCTTCGTTCCTTCTTTCTTTTCCTTCCTTTCCTTCCTTCTTTCTCTTTCTTTCTTTCCTTCCTTCTTTCTCTTTCCTTCCTTCCTTCTTTCTCTTTCTTTCCTTCCTTCCTTCCTTTCCTTCCTTCCTTCCTTCTTTGTCTTTCTTTCTTTCCTTCCTTCTTTCTTTCCTTCTTTCCTCCCTTCCTTCCTTCTTTCTTTTTCTTTCCTTCTTTCTTTCTTTCCTTTCTTCCTTTCCTTCCTTCCTTCTCCTCATTCCCATCTCCTTCCTTCCTTCCTTCTTTCTCTTTCTTTCCTTCCTTCCTTTCTTTCCTTCCTTTCCTTTCTTTCTTTCCTTCCTTCCTTTCCTTCCTTCTTTGTCTTTCTTTCTTTCCTTCCTTCTTTCTTTTTTTCCTTCTTCCTTCCTTCTTTTTTTCTTTCCTTCCTTCCTTCCTTCCTTTTCCTCATTCCCATCTCCTTCCTTCCTTCTCCTCATTCCCATCTTCCTTCCTTCCTTCCTTCTCATTCCCATCTCCTTCCTTTCTTCCATCCTTCCTTCTCCTCATTCCCATCTTCCTTTTCCTTCCTTCCTTCCTTCCTTCCTTCCCCTCATTCCCTTCCTCTCTTCTCCATCCCTGGAGGGTTTTCAAGAAGAGACTGAATAACCATTTGTCCGAAACGGTATGGGGGTTTCCTGCCTGAGCAGGGGGTTGGACTAGAAGACCTCCGAGGTCCCTTCCGACTCTCCTCCTTCTCTTCCATCTCTGGCCACGGCGGCCTGGGCTGGCTCTTTCCTGAAACTCTTCGTTTTGTTTGCTCCCTCCCTTCCCAGGCTGGTACACGCCCCCCAAGGAAGACGGCTAGCCGCGGCGCCGACGGAACAGGACCCGCCACCCCGCCATCAACCCATCCCAACCTGGACCCCCCCCTCCTCCTCCTCCTCCTCGCTGGACGCTGTGGAAGGACAGTTTTTTTTCTCCCTTGGACTCCTTCGCCAGCTCTTCGGAAGAGCCGCTCCGATCGCCCTTGGGGCGGGCTTCTTATAAACACTCGTCGTGAGCAGCCCCCCCTCTCGGACCCTCGCTGGCCGGCGATCGGCTGCCCCCCCCCTCTCGCTCTTATTCAACGGGGAGGGGGGGAAAGAATGAAAAATACACAACACACACAAACCCCACACTCACCTAAAATGAAAAACTCCTTGAAATTTCTCCTCTTCTTCTGGCCGGAAAACTTCCTTCTGCTGCTGTTCTGAGAAAACCCACACAAAAAAAAAATACGGCCTCTTCCTTCAGCGCTGGATTTAATTTATTTTCTTATTTTTCATGTACACGGCTTTTTCTCTCTCTCCTTCCTCCTCCTCCTCCTCTTCTCCCCTTTCCCCAACCCGCCTCCCCTTCCTTCCTTCCTTCTTTCTTTCCTTCTTCCTTTTTGTTTTTTTTTTTTCATTTCTTTTCTCTCTCTTTTTTTTTTTTTTGGTTACAGTGTATGATGGATGTCTATGGGGAAAAACAAAATATGTATCTTTGGAGAACAATTACATTTGTTAATTTCAAGGGGGGGTCTGGCGGTACCTCTGTCCGGGGGGGAAAGGGGGGGTGAGGATGGCGGTCGGGGGGGGGGTCTCGCAGAAAAATAACCTGAGCGATGAAACTCCTTTTGGCTCCCAATCTTCCAGTTTCTTGGCCGTCACACAAAAAAAAAGGAAAATTGGCCAAAATAATGTAAGCTTCAAATTTCAGCAGAGAACTCTGCATTATTCTTGTCAAAGGTAGCTTTTTTCCCCCCATGTTTTTTCAAGAGGTCCTCGTTTAATGACTCCCAAGGGGAGCCTGGCATTTTGGAGGGTGAGCGGTTGCAGTCCTTAAGTGGGACACTTGACTATTTTTGGGACTGTTTTTCCTAGGGTCATAAAGTGAGTCTTTGCAGTCGTTGAGTGTTGTGGTGGCCTAGAGGTGGAGTCATCTCACAATCGGGAGACTGAGTTCGATCCTAGGTAGAAGCAGATATTTCTCTCTCTCTCTCTTTCTGGGCACAATGAGAATATTATCTGCTGGACAAAACTCCGCCCTGGCAACAAGAAAGGCAGCCGGCCAGTAAAACACTCCGCTAAGCTCCATTCAGTTGCCCAGACTCCACCCCGCAAGGGATTTATTGGGTCGTTAAAAGAGGATGATAAAGTGAATCTTTGCAGTTGTTAAAACAAACCACCGAGTTGTGAAGCGGATCGATTGTGACGGATGGGGGTTAAATTGGCGCAAATAACGGTCGCTTGACTAGAACGGTGAAAAATAGTGATAACTGGTGAAAAATGCAATTGTGACCAGAGAGGAAAGTTGTAACTTCATGGTTATAAGTAACTTTTTGGGATGGTTTTTGTTATAATGTGGAACCGTTGCGAAACAGCCGGTCGTTAAGCGAGGAATACTTGCACGCCCTTCTCAAGATCAACGGAGAAATTAAAATTCCTAGCGTTAAAAATTGGAAAGCAAAAACCAGGTCAAAATTTACTCCGGGTTGCTTACGATTCCTCGGTTCAAATCCCCGGTCCGGCAATCCGAGAAGCAGTTGCAGAAAAAAAAGGAGACCCAGGAGAATCTCGTGGGTGCTAGAAAATCCGTTTTCCGAACAAAACAGGCACGGGTACCGGTCTGTTTCAACCACGCAGAAGGTGTAATCGCATTTTCTCAGCCAAGAATTTTGTGACTTTTTTTTCCATCCTAGCCCGCAGAAATGCTAGCGAAGACCTTGAGCCCTCAAAAAAAAGGCAGATTAAATGCTGGCCAAAAAATAAATAAATTAGAGCCACATTAATCTGCCCAAGCAGAGAGGATCTGGGGGAATCGCCAGATTTAATCCATTTTCTTAAAAGGATCCGGTTTTGTTGAGCCTTTCATCTTACGTATGAAAAGATGCTGTCGCTCGGAGCATACATCTGTTTGATAAAATTTAATTTGAGACGGAAAATAAGACAAGCCCTTGAACTACCTTTCCTTGAGTCAAGGTTGATCTTGCACTCTTGAGGACTAGAAACTTAATCCCCCCCAAAATCTAGCTATTTCCAGAGACAGCAAAATAGGATTTATTGATTCTTCTCTAGCATTCTGCATTTCACACCAAATTCCAGATTTGAAGTTAGCCTAGTCTGTTCAGACGAGTGCATTTTTTTTAAATAAGATTCAAAATAATCGCGTGTATATCAGAATTAAAAATTAATCGGGCCTCGGAGCAGAGTAAAAAATGTGCTCATTTTTTTTTTTTCCCAAGTAAGAGCCGAGTTTCTCCTAAAATAACCCCCATTTGCCCTAGGAGAGAAAAGCAAAACGTTCAAAAAAAAACAACACCCCAGCTTTATTTTTCTTTTAATTTAATCTGATTTAATACTGCTGGAGTTCGAGCTGAAAAGCGTATTTTTATAATGCAAAGGGAAAAGGAAGACGCCAATTTCTGGATCCAGTTAGCATTTTAATCCATTAGCTGCAATAACAAACTCAAAAGAGAACAAAGGTTGCAAGTGAACGGCTGAGCCAAAATAACAGATTTATGTAATTTTTTCCCTCCCCTTCTGCTTACACATCCCGCAGAATTCTCTCCCAAGACATAAAATGCAGTAGGAAAAATAACATTTTTTCTTTTCCTTTTCGAGCACAAAGTTATAAGGCCTCAGCGAAGCAACCAAATTAATATCCCCCCCAAAAAAATTTAAACCAACTTTTAAACATTTCCCACAAGAAAATTTGATGTACTTCAAGCTTGTTGGGAAGAACTTCACAAGTCCACCACTTCTTAGTCTGTTTTGACGACAAACCTTAAAATGTGTGGCTGTAAAACAAGTTTTTAAAAAAATTCCTGTTAAATTATTGTGTGTTATATCACACCATTGTGCGCCTGGTTTGCATCTGGCCGAGTGTCGTGCCCACCCAGCTAATATTTCATAAATAGAATATTTAACTTGGGACGAAGAAAATTCAGCCGAATGTGGATTGTTATAGTACAGCTGTGCGTTTTGTTAAAGTAACTTTTGACATTATTTTAAGCTTCTGGTCCTTATTAAGATTGGGGGGGGGAATTTAAGTTGCTTGCACGATTATTTTTAATTTATTATTATTATTAATTTTTAATTTAATTTTATTATTATTTGCCTAGAGCCATTTTAAGTTTTGCAGCTTTCTTTGCAGGTTGACTGAGCCTTTTCGACACACGCACAAAACAATCCACAATCGGCCAATTGTTGTGTTTGCAAGCCCAAGAAACTATGGTTTGTACTTCCGAATTGCTGCAAAAATCCGCAAAACCGATTTCAGCAAAAATCCCCAACGAGGCCGTCTGTGAAATTGCACTGGTTTCTGATTTTGGATTTTCGGAGCTAACTGAACTCTTAATGATTATCGAGTTGGGATCGAATCGATTCGTTCAGTCGATCGGTGAGTGACAAACCAGGATTCCAGAAGGAAGCTTATCAAGAGTTCAAACTTTGGCTTTTTTGATACTGGATGGCTATGAGCAAATGTATTTTTTTGGGGGGTGTTTCCTTCAATGCCGTTCTGGTTTGCTTCTTTAAAACAAGCCAGGATTTCTAATCTGAAAATCCTGGCTTGTTTGCAATCCTGGTTTATGGGGCCGTAGCAAGTCTAGAGTTGGCTTGGTTCAGGCCAACACAAAGAAGCAATTTCTTTAAAGGTACATCTATTTTATTTCATCCAGAAATGACTTCTTGGCTCATCAAAATCAGAGTTCTAAACGAGATTTAGTTTTCCGGGTGAAAACAAAAATAAATATATATATTTCTTCCCCTGTTTACCTCCCATTGAGAAGGTCCTTTCAATGTTCCTTCCAGGATTTGCCTTCGGATGACCTGCGGGGGGAAAACTCCTGCAAAACCCAGAAAGAAAATCCTCTTTAAATTGTTTCATCCAAAAAAGGAACATTTTATCCCATTTCTCAAAGCTGCTAATAAGCACAATTATGGGTGGACTTCGACTCCCAGAATCCCCCAGCCAGCATGATTTAAGAGAAATGGACTTCAACTCCCAGAATCCCCCAGCCAGCATGATTTAAGAGGGGTGGGCTTCAGCTCCCAGAATTCCCCAGCCAGCATGATTTAAGAGAAATGGACTTCAACTCCCAGAATCCCCCAGCCAGCCTGCTTTAAGAGAAATGGACTTCAACTCCCAGAATCCCCCAGCCAGCATGCTTTAAGAGGGATGGACTTCCACTCCCAGAATCCCCCAGCCAGCATGCTTTAAGAGAAATGGACTTCAACTCCCAGAATCCCCCAGCCAGCATGATTTAAGAGGGATGGACTTCCACTCCCAGAATCCCCCAGCCAGCATGCTTTAAGAGGGGTGGGCTTCAAGTCCCAGAATCCCCCAGCCAGCCAGGTATCTGCCAGCCTTACCTTCCTCCAGCATGAAGGGCTGAGCCAAAGGGCGAATTTCCCAGAATTGCTCCGCGTCCAGCTTCCGTAGCGAGTTCAGGGGGAGGCTGGCGCAGCGGCCGAAGTCCACAAAGAAGACCACGGCCAGGTCGCCCAGGGGGTCCAGCACCCAGCACCTGGGGGGGGGGTAGAGAAAGAGAGAGCCAAACAAATGTCTCAGTTCCTTTCTTTCTTTCTTCCTTCCTTCCTTCCTTCCTTTTTTTCTCTGACCCCTCTCTTCTTTTCATTCCTTCCATTTTTCTTTTGCTTCCTTCCTCTTCTATTTTTTTTTTCTTTCCTTGTTTGCTTGGTCCCTTTTTCCCTCTCTCCCTGCCTTCTTTCTTTTCCTTTCTTCCTTCCTTCCCTCTTCTATTTTTTTCCTTCCTTCCTTGTCTCTCTTCTTCCTGCCCTTTTTTTCCTTCCTTCCTTCTTTTCCTTTCTTCCTCCTTTCCTTTTCTATTTTTCCTTCCTTCCTTCCATTTTTCCTTCCTTCCCTCCCTCCTCCCTCTATTTTTTCCTTGCTCCCTTCTTCCCTCTCCCTGCCGTTCTTCCTTCTTTCCCTACTTTTCCTTTCTCCTTTTCTATTTTTCCCTTTTCCTCTATTTTTTTCCTTCCTCCCTTGCTCACTTCCCTCTCTCTGCCTTTTTTTCTTCCTTCCTTCTTTCCCTCCTTTTCCTTTCTTCCTCCTTTCCTTTTCTATTTTTCCTTCCTTCCTTGCTCCCTTCTTCCCTTTCCCTGCCTCTTTTTCTTCCTTCCTTCCTTTTCCTTTCTTCCTCCTTTCCTTTTCTATTTTTCCTTCCTTCCAGTTTTCCTTCCTTCTCTCCCTCCTCTATTCTTTTCCTTCCTTCCTCGCTCCCTTCTTCCCTCTCCCTGCCTCTTTTTCTTCCTTCCCTCCTTTTCCTTCCTTCCTCCTTTCCTTTTCTATTTTTCCTTCCCTCCCTCCCTCTGGCTGATCCCCAAAGAGGGCGGGGAGCCCCTCACCTGTTCCAGGCGCTGCCCTCGTCCCCGATGTCGCACTGGGCCAGGCACCGGGCGCCCCTCTGCACTTCCTGTTTGGCCAGGAAGGGCAAGCCGGCCTCGGCCTCAGCTAAAGCCTTGAAGAGCTTCTCCATGGATTTGTAGCATTCCTGCATGATCAAAAGACCAAGGATTGCAGCCTCTAAATCAGCAAACTGCTCCCTAGAGGCACTAATCAAGTTTCTAGCCCTCATGAGGCTTGGAAACGGAGCCACGAATCAAGTTTCTAGCCCTCATGAGGCTTAGAAACGGCGCCACTGCTCCCCGGTGGCATGAATCAAGTTTCTAGCCCTCATGAGGCTTGGAAACTGAGCCACTGCTCCCCAATGGCAAGAATCGAGTTTCTAGCCCTCGTGAGGCTTAGAAACGGTGCCACAAATCAAGTTTCTAGCCCTCATGAGGCTTAGAAACGGCGCCACTGCTCCCCGGTGGCATGAATCAAGTTTCTAGCCCTCATGAGGCTTGGAAACTGAGCCACTGCTCCCCAATGGCAAGAATCGAGTTTCTAGCCCTCATGAGGCTTAGAAACGGTGCCACGAATCGAGTTTCTAACTCTCATGAGGCTTAGAAATGGTGCCACTGCTCCTCCACAGCACAAATCAAGCTTCTAGCCCTCATGAGGCTTGGAAACGGAGCCACTGCTCCCCGGCGGCACGAATCAAGTTTCTAGCCCTCATGAGGCTTGGAAACGGAGCCACTGCTCCCCAGCAATCAAGTTCCTAGCCCTCATGAGGCTTAAAACCAGCGCCACTGTCACAATCTACAGAAGGGGAAGCCCTCAGCCTGGGAATTCCGGAGTCGAATCCTGCTCACGGCAAACCTCGTTAAGGACGATGGCCCAGAAGTACGGCATCAGCGGAAGCGTGTCCGTCACCAGAAGCCCCACCTCCCCTGCCACGCCGACCACGGAACGCAGCCACTTGGCATCTCCGAAGCAGCCCTTCAGCACGTGGAACAGAAACGAACTTCTAAAAGGAAATAATAAAGCGAAAAGCGAGGGAGAAGGAAAGAGAGGTCATCTAGAAGAACCCCCTCTGGCCGTGACTCGGGATCGCATAGAAGCTTTTGAAAGAGTCCGGAGCGAAAGGGATTTATGAGAAACCAGGAAAACGAGTCAGGGACGTGGCAAACGGGCTACTCAGTGCAAAATATTGAATTAACGCAACAAATCCATCGGGCCGAAACCTGTCGCCAAATTCATAATTATCACTCCAACCACTAGTAGCATCCGAGGAGGAAAACACCCCCCCACCACCACATTTTCTCCTCCTCGTGTTTGCACGTACCTCATTTCCATGGGGACAGCATAGCAGGCTCTCTGATTTACAGGGGAGATGTGGGTGGCACCTTTGGGGGAGGTTAAAAAACACAAATCTGATAGCCTTGATGCCAGCAAGGCTAAACAGCCACGTAAATCGCAATCAGGAAAATCAAGTTCCTGCCCCTAGGTCAGATTTTCTTAAAACAGCATTAGAAAAAATAAATTAATGACAAATTGGGTACGAGGCTGCCTTCCTTTTACCAGGATCAATTTTTTTTTTAAAAAAATAACAATAGAACAAGATCTTGTACCGTTGGTTATTCCACATTCTCTGGCGGGGATCACTTCCAAATCCTACAAAAGCAAAAAAAAAAAAAAAAAGACATTTGTAAGGGAATAAATCCAGATCGAAATAGCTTAAATAGAATTAATTAATTAATTAATTAATTAATTATCAAATTTATAGACCGCCCTTCTCCTGAAGGACTCAGGGCGGTATACAGCCAAAGTAAAAAACATAAATACAAACATTAAAACAATTTAAAAAGATATATATAAATTTGGCCCCAAAATTAAAAAGCAGTAACATAACTATGTTTAACATAGCAGGCCCCACCATCATGACTGGTGCAGCAAACTACCATTAAACAAACCATCATTCGGGGCAAGAACTTGAAACAAGCTTGAATTAGCATCCCGTTCCCCCAGAACTACAGCAGGGAAACTGAGCCTAAAATTGCAAAGGAATTGTTCTGGCTTTATAAAACAATTTAAATTTAAATGCGTGAACCAAAACCTATAAAAAAAATAAAAAAAATAAAAATATAACGGATCTCTATTATGGATTTCCCTCCCCCTTCTTTTAATATTAAAATTTAACCGTTCACTGTTAAAATTGTGGTCAATTTACGACCACAAATGGAGCCCACAGTAAATGTGAAAAGTTTGGGTCACTAAATGAACTGTTGTAAATCGAGGACTTTCTTTAAATCTGTTTAAAGAAGACTCCGAGAATCAGCTAGCGGGGGGGAAAGCGAGCTCTAAAGGTCTCTGTGAGTTTTGAGGAGGGGGGACACACACTTCCCACGTAAAGCATGCCGGCTGTGATATGGATAAACCATGAATCGTGGTTTATACCGGCATCGGAGTGCTGGTTTTCAGAACCTCGTGAATTTTCCTGTTTTCCATAAACGCGACGGACATCGGTCGGCCTTTCAGGAGCTGCCCGTTCATAAGCTTTACTGCTAGTTTTGCGGCTTCGGGGGCCGTCAACTCCAGAAATGCAAAACTACGGAGGGAAAAGAAAATGCAGAAATTTAAACAAATATTTTTTCCCCCACTGGACGCCCTTAATAAAGACCCCCGGACAATAGCCACCATCATCCCCAATGCCCATCGTCCCCAGCCCCTCTTGAACTACCAAAGGACATCTGAGAGAGAAGCCCTGGCTAAGTTTCCTTGGAAAACCAGCTCGTTCTTTCGCTCCCTGGCCTACCTCGCAGGGTTGTTGTGACAAGCAGGGAAGGAAGATAAACGAAGACAGATCGCCCTTGAGTTTATGACAGCAATAGGAATGGAATTTATGTTGCTAAAACAAGGGGGGTTGTTAAAAGAGCCGTGTCCAAATTTCGCCGCGATTGTTAAGCAAATGGCTGCAGTCGTTAAGCGAATCATTGGTCGTGAAGCGAATCTAGCTTCTCTCCTCGCTCGAAGCCGGCTGGGAAGGTCGCAAACTGGATCACGTCATCCCGGGATGCCGCAACCGTCATAAATACATGCCCAGTGCTTGGATTTTGATCACGTGACTGTCGGGACGCCACAACGGTCGTAAGTGCGAGGATGGAATCTACGTCACTTTTTTCTGGGCCTTTGTTGCTTCGAATGGTTGTCCAGTCAGGCCTGATTCACTCAACAACATCTCTTGCTTAGCGACGTAAATTATGGCTGCCCTCAAAATAATTCAGATTTTGAGGATTTTTTTTTTTAAATAGAAACGCCAGCCTACCTTTTAAAAGAATTATTGTGTTTCCTCAAAGATTTGATCCCAAAATCCTTGAATAAGAAGGCAATTTCTTCCTAATGAAGAAATAAAGTAAAAAGAAATTCAGGAAATATAAATTAAAAACTTTTTACAAGGGGAAGGAAGAAAAAAAAAATCCGATTGTTTGGGTCTGGGAAAAAAATTAAAGATTCCTCAATTGGAATTATTAGGCCGAAAAGTTTCTTGACGATCTGGGTTTTATAAAGAAGATTTTTTTGAGACAAAAAAGGATGACTATCATCCCAAACTTATCATATCTTATTTTATTTATCTATTAAATTACTGTATTTGATTCCAATTTCATTTTAAATCGTGTTTTATTCCAATTTCATTTCAAATCGTGTTTTATTCCAATTCCATTTTAATTTGTGTTTTACTCCAATTTCATTTCAAATTGTGTTTTATTCCAATTCTATTTTAAATCGTGTTTTATTCCAATTTCATTTCAAATCGTGTTTTACTCCAATTTCATTTCAAATTGTGTTTTATTCCAATTCCATTTTAAATCATATTTTATTCCAATTTCATTTTAAATTGTATTTTATTCCAATTCCATTTTATATCGTGTTTTATTCCAATTTCATTTTAAATCATATTTTATTCCAATTCCATTTTAAATTATTTTTATCAGATTTTAGTCATAATTTGTGACTGGAACTCTGCACTTTGACATGGGCTAATAACTGATCCATTTTATTTCTTTTTTTTTTTTTTTTTTTTTTATTGAAAAGGTTTTCAAATACAAATTTTTCCCCCTTTTTCCCCCCCCTCCCCCCCCTCCCTAACCCCCCCTCCCCACCCTTCCCCCCCTGTGACTTCTTCGTAACAAAAAAAACCCCTAATTCATAACAGATTACTTACTCCCTCCTCAAAATACTGACCTTTACTTACTAAAAGTATTATAAATCCCCCTTTATCCATACATTTCAGAAAAGAAGAAGAGAAAAAAAACAAAAAAAAACAAACACATTATACTATAACTATTATAAAATAACTTCTAATTTAGCATAATAGTGTTTTATATCTATACATTATTGCAACAATTCAAAACCACCTTCCACTTTAAAACTATACGATAAGTCCTACTTTAATAACATTTCAAAGCGGGCTCCCCATAAAATCTAATTTAACATTTATTCCACTCTATCCATTTCCTCCACTCCCCTAAATGTATCACTTAAAAATCCCTTTTCTTAAACTAATCAGTCTGTAGCTAGCTTATTCACCCACTGTCTTACAAATTTACCATACACAACAATTCTTGATATCTTTAATTCACTGCCCACACTACTTAAAAATATATATATATATATATTCCATTATATCTAAATAAAAAAAGAAAAGACAATAACTTTAAATTTATAGTCCATATAATATCTTCTTGAAGTCTTTCCACTGGATTGTTAAAACCAACATCCATAATAGGGTAACATAGCTTGCGGATGCAACAGTTTATTCAAGATCTCCAATCATATCTGCCCCCATCAGTAGTAAACATCTTCTTATATATATAAAAGTAAAAACAACCACCCGAGTGACATTATAATTATATTCCATATAATAATAATTGTGGGTTTCATCAGGATTATTAATTTCCATCATCGTATTGGGTAACAACCCGATCTTCTGCATGTCCCAATGTGATTCTCTTGCCTTATAATTCAAGATAATTATAATATATTTATCAACACAAAAAGAAGTTTCAAAGTAGATAATTCAAAACCATCAATTTGAGGCTCTTTCCATGTCCCAAAATTACGGCAATGCAGAGATCTGCCACTATCCTCAGGATGATATTGACCAATATGTCGCCTCCTCTATGTTTTCACATAATCATTCATATTTTAAAATCACTGGCTTCACTGTTGCTTGGGTTAGAAATTTCTATTTTTGTACAAACCTATTTCTTTTTTTGTTTTCTTTTTGTGGGTTTGACTTCCATCCTAATTTTTTGTGTCTCGCGTTTCTTTTTTATCCCTTGTATATCCTCTAATTGGTTTCCATGCTTGTCCTTGCCTTGATAAGTCATCACATTAAAATCAGATGGCACTTCTCTCAAATTTGTAGATAATCCAGCTGGGGTATCCGATAAATCCAAAGGCAATTTATCTGGTACAGTCTCTGTCTTTAATTCCAGCTCCTTCTGCTTATCCTGTATTATATCTGAAGACGTTAAATTCATTTTCAACCTATTTTGATAAAATTCTTCCGCTCTTTCAACAGTATTTAACTGGTATCTTTCTCCTTGATATCTCAATATAATACCAACTGGGACGTCCCACCGGAATTGAATATTTCTCCTTTTTAACTCAGACACCAGAAAGCCAAATTTCTTCCTTTCCATTAATATCTTAGGTGGGAGTTCCTTGTAAATCCAAATCTTTCTTCCATACAATTGCAAATTAGAATTGAAGGAATTTTGCACAATTTTATTCCTAATTTCTTTATCTGAAAAATAGATTACCACATCTCTAGGCAATTGCCTTTGCTTGGCATTTTATTTCTTTATGTTTATATTTCATGTTACTAGTCCACATGAACCCTCTCAAGGAAGGACTCTGGACGGTGATTAAATTATTTGAGAGTTTGGGCTAAAAAAACAATAAAAGTCCCGAGTCATTGTAACATCAAAAGTATTTTTATAAAGGCTTTTTAATTTCACTTACAATCCTCTCTTGCTTCAGATTCTGACCTCTGTTGTGGCCATAACTCAAGGACTAACTGTACGTACGTAACACATCTATGGTATATGTGGGTTTGTGGCATCTGGGCATAAAATAAACAAATTGAGAAAACTCACCTCTTTGATATCCAAGGGGAGATTTCCAACAAAGATTTCCTTCTTTTTTAAAAGCCCTGAAAAAAGCAAATTTTGGTTAGGAAGACCCAGTAAAATATGAAAAAAAAGACAATATAGCAGGAAAAAGCCTTTCCTCCCTCCCTCCCTTTCACTCCTCCCTTTCTTTCCTCCTTCCCTCTCTTCCTTCCTTCTTCCTCCCTCTCTCCCTTCCATCTGCCTCCCTCCCTTTCTTCTTTCCTCCTCCGTCCCTCGTTCCATTCCCTCCTCCCTCCCTCTCCTTCCTTTCTTCCTCCTCCCTTTCTTTCCTCCTTCCCTTCTGCCTCCTTCCCTCTCTTCCTTCCTTCTTCCTCCCTTCCTTCTTCCTCCCTTCCTTTCTTCTTTCCTCCTCTCTCCCTCCCATTCCTTCCTTCTCCCTCCCTTCCTTCTCCCTCCCTCCTTCCACTCCTTCCTTCTTTCCTCTTCCCTCCCTCCCTCTCTTCCATTTTCTCCTCCCTCCCTCTCCTTCCTTCCTCCTCTCTTTCTTTCCTTCTCCCTCTCCCTTCCTTCTCCCTCCCTCCCTCCTTCTACTCCTTCCTTCTTTCCTCATCCTTCCCTCCCTTCTGCCTCCCTCCCTCTCTTCCATTCCCTCCTCCCTCCCTCCCTCCCTCTCCTTCCTTCCTTCCAACAGCCCCCAACTGGGGGGGGGCACATTGCTTGAAACCCATAAATGATAAAAATTCTGCCCCCCGCTTAATTTTTCACGCTTTTTAACTCTCCGCGTGCAAAACCCCCGAGCAGAAGCTTCATTGCACGCCTAATTCACACATTCAATCGACTCTTTTAAACTCACCCGAATGTTTCAAGGGATTCGCCTTAACCAGCTTCTTAGAGCCTGGTGAACAGGGGTTTTCCTGGCCGGGTCTTAACCTACAAACCAGATTAAAACAAACTAGGATTGAATAACTGCCACTTTTTTGCAAACCTCGTTTTCCGTTTGCGTAAACCCTCGGCCTTGGCTAACTTGAGAAACTCAACCTTAAAACCTGGTTAAAACCTGTCATTTGAACCCAGCTCCGGGAGACCCCGCCTTCTTTCAGGCCCCACCCACCACCTGCTTAGCCCCGCCCACCGTAAAAAAAAGAAAACCCCGAGAAAACGCAACCCCCAAATACAGAAAATTACACTATGATTTTCCAAACACAATTCTTGCTTTGCGGCTCACAAGCCAGGAATCTAGGGGACAAACAGTAAGAAACTGGGTTGACCCTCACAAATAGATAGATAAATAGATAGATAGATATGAATGGATAGATAGATAGATAGATAGATAGATAGATAGATAGATGATAGATATGGATAGATAGATAGATGTGGATGGATAGATAGATAGATAGATGTGGATGGATAGATAGATAGATATGGATGGATAGATAGACAGATATGGATAGATAGATAGATAGATAGATAGATAGATAGATAGATAGATAGATGATAGATATGGATAGATAGATAGATAGATAGATAGATAGATAGATAGATAGATAGATAGATAGATGATAGATATGGATAGATAGATAGATGTGGATGGATAGATAGATAGATAGATAGATAGATAGATAGATAGATATGGATGGATAGATAGATAGAGATATGGATGGACAGATAGACAGATATGGATGGATGGATAGATAGATAGATAGATATGGATGGATAGATAGATAGATAGATAGATAGATAGATAGATAGATAGATAGATAGATATCTAATATGGCCTAATATGAATATGAATTTTAATGGGTGTATGTTAGTTTTTAATTTGTGGGCCAAATTTTTGTATATTTGATTTTAATGGTTTTTAAATTTTGTAAATTTTATGTGTTTTAATATGGCTGTACACCGCCCTGAGTCCTAAAGAAAAGAAAAGAAAAGAAAAGAAAAGAAAAGAAAAGAAAAGAAAAGAAAAAAAGAAAAGAAAAAAGAAAGAAAAGAAAAGAAAAGAAAAGTGTAAAGTAAAAAGAAAAGTAAAGTAAAGTAAAAAGTAAAGTAAAAAGTAAAGTAAAGTAAGATAGATAGAGTATTAGGCACCCATGCCAGATTTTGCAGGGTAGTTTTCTTTTAAATAAAACTCCCAAGTGTGCAAGGGAAGTGTGCAAAATGGGTGAACTTGCAACGGAATCCTGAACAAGGATTATTATTTAAAATATTCTGTCCTTCCTACTCACATCTCGCTCCGGTGACTTTGCAGGATCCAGCACGACACCCTAAAATAATAATACTTTTATAATGCTGTATTACACAATATATATAATATTAGAGGAGGGGGGCATTTTGGGGTGTTGGAAAAAGCAGGGATGGAAAGGTGCAGGCGTTGCAAAGAAGGGACTCCCTCCCGGATGGCTCACCTGGGCAGAAGGCAAAGAGGCGCGAATCCGGAGCAAAGGCGCGCGGGACTCCCAGCAGGATATCCAGGCGCTGCGCGGGTTTTGCGCCGGCGCGCATCGCGCCCCGCCTTCCTCTCCCCCGCCCCACTCTGGCTCTCAATGGGGGGGGTGGAGGAGGAGGGAGAGGCTTTAATTCGGAGTGGATCCGGAGTAGATGCATGGGCGAACGTCTTTATGCATTAGATAGGTAAGAAGCTGGAATACACGTGTGTGTCTGTGGGCATTTTTAACTAGAGAGAGATAGATAGATAGATAGATAGATAGATAGATAGATAGATAGATAGATAGATAGATAGATAGATAGATAGATAGATAGATAGATAGATAGATAATGATATGATTGATATGAATAGATAGACAGATATAGTTAGTGATAGAAAATAGATATAGATAGATAGAGTTAGCAATAGATAGAAGATGGATAGATATAGTTAGCAATAGATAGATAGAAGTTAGATAGAGTTAGCAATAGAAAATAGAGTTAGCAATATATTATATTATATTATAGCAATATATATTATAAATAAATATTCATTTAATTAGTTTTATCTCTTATTTTAAATTTTGTATCTACATGTTTTATTTTATGGCTGTTCACCGCCCTGAGTCCTTAGGGAGTAGGGCGGTATACAAATTTAATAAAAATAAAATAAATAAATAAATAAATATAGAAGATAGAGAGATAGAAAATAGATAAATAGATAGTTAGCAATAGATAGAAAATAGATAAATAGATAGTTAGCAATAGATAGAAAATAGATATAGTTAGCAATATAGAAGATAGATAGAAAATAGATATAGTTAGCAATAGATAAAAAATAGATATAAACAGAGTTAGCAATAGATAGATAGAAGTTAGAGTTAGCAATAGATAGAAGATAGATGTAGATAGATGTAGATAGATAGATAGATAGATAGATAGATAGATATAGTTAGCAATAGATAGATAGAAGTTAGATGAGTTAGCAATAGATAGAAAATAGTTAGCAATAGATAGATAGATAGATGGAAAATAGATATAGTTAGCAATAGATAGAAGATAGATAGATAGATAGATAGATAGATAGATAGATAGATAGATAGATAGATAGAGTTAGCAATAGATAGATAGAAGTTAGATGAGTTAGCAATATAGAAAATAGATAGAGTTAGCAATAGATAGAAGATAGATGTAGATAGATGATAGATAGATGGAAAATAGATATAGTTAGCAATAGAAGATAGATAGATAGCAATAGATAGAAAAATACCATTGAAACAGTTGTATCCAATTTGATAGCCTGGAAAGACAAAAAATAAGAATTAATTTAGCCCAAGTTTTGTTTTTGTTTTTATCTTATTAGTTTACAAAGTTTCCTATTGCTACTTTCAGCAGCCTGCCTGCGCGCCCCCGCGCTTCCCATCTGTGCGCGCCCCCGCCTCATCCAAGCCTCCCCCCCCCCTCACACCCCGCCCTCCGGATCTGGGCGGGGGAGATGCCGCCCCCTCCCTCCTCCCTCCCTCCTTCCCTCCCTCCCTGCGCGAGCCAGAGCAGCGCTCGCAAAGTTGCGCGAAGCCAAAGCCAACTCTTTGCACCGGATTGCGCGCGCGGGGGTGGGTGGGGGGCCAAGTAAATTGCAACTGGAAAAGGGGAGGGGGGTCTTCTCCCACCCCTGGGCTGGGGAAAGAGGATTTGGGGGTGGGGGAGAGGAAGGTCTGGGGGGGGGACAGCCCCCAGTTTGGAGCCCTTCTCCCATCTCTGCTTTGGAGACCCCCTGAGTTTTGGGTGGGTGGGTGGGTTATCCTGATGCATCTCTATTTTGGGTAGGGGGGAAGCAAACCCCCTTTGTTTGCCCTCTAAACCCGGGGAGAAAAAAAGCCCCCACCCCAGGATTTAAAATCAGGGGCTCACTGGCTTGGAAAAACGGGGTTCGGGTTAGCCCCTACTCTCCCCCTCCCCAGATCCTCCCATCTCTTCTTTTCTCCCTATTTTTCCCACCCCCCCACCCCCTTTGCTAGTTTTTTTATTTATTGCAGTTTCCAACTTCCCAAAACTCCGGAAAAAATCGAGCAAATTTATCTTCGATTCGGCTGACCTACAGCGATGCTGAGATTTGGGGTACGCAAATAATTTTTGGGGGTGGGGTGGGAGGGTGGGATGAAGCATCGGAAAAGGGGTTTTCCTCCCACCTGATGCCTTTATGGGGGGTCTGTAGCTGGTCCATCGGTTGCAGGAGGTCCTAAGGGGGGAGGCAGAGAACCCCGTTAATTTGGGGGGGGTCTTCCTGGGGTCCCAAATCCGGGGCATGCCTTGGCTTGCTTTCTGCTGCTGGACTTGGCCTTCTCGGTTTGCAAGCGGGGTGCAACTTCCCAGCTGGGGTGCTGGAAGGTGGGCTGAGGCTGCTGGGGACCCAGGAAAAATTTTTTTTTGGGGAGGGGGCTTCGGTTCTTCTTGACTTCGTCCGGTCAGCATGGCTGCCAAGTGGTTCAAAGAATTCCCCGCCAACCTCAAAACCGTCTCGGATCGTCCTAAACCCAGCAGTGGGCATCATGTGAGCAAACCAAGCGGCGGTGCCCGAAAAAACTTAGCATCGCCCGAAGCCGGACTGGCATCGCTGCCCGGGAAGAACCGGAAGAACTCGGCCACCGAGTTGGTTGGCACCAAGACTCCGTTGGCACCGGGGAAAGATGGCACGAGTAGCCGCTTGTCCCGCGACAATCTCCAGGGACTTTTGCAAGCCGCCGCAGGGAAGATGCGCAAGAATTCGCGGGTGGAAGGGGCCCCCCCAGAGGACCCCGGCTGGGGGCCCCCCAAAGGGCCCCCCAGTTGTGGGGGGTACATCAACCGTCTCATCAAAGTCAACGCCCAGGAGAAAAACGCAAAGAACTTTTCAGGATCAGCCCCCAATCCCAATCCGGTCCCGCCGGCCGAACCGGAGAAGCCCAAGCAAGAAACGGTAAAGATGCCATTACGGTTTGCCACTTTTGGGGGGTTTTGGAAGATGAAGGGGTTTGGGGGTTTGAGGTTTGGGAGTGGGGTCTGTGTTGCCATCCGTTGGTTCGGAGCTTTTTTAAAAAATGGGGGTTTGGTTTGGAAGGAAGACGAGCAAATGGTAGGAAAGGCATTTCCCAAAAACTTTCCCCAAAAAGTTTTGCCGTCCGTTAATTTTGTGGGGTTTAAAAATTGGGATCCTCTCCTTCCCGTTTGGGAAGAAACTGGGCAGATCTTACAAAATCCAGTTTTGGAGAAAAAGGATCCGGCAATGTTTATGGATGTCTGAAGTCTCTTTCTAATTTTCTTCAGCCAAATTGCAAGGAAGGAAAGAGAGAGAGAGAGAGAGAGGGAGGGAGGGAGGGAGGGAGAGAGAGAGAGGGGGGGGGGAAAGAAAGAAAGAAAGAAAGAAAGAAAGAAAGAAAGAAAGAAAGAAAGAAAAAAGAAAAAGAGGGAAGGAAGGAAGTGAGAGAGAGAGAAGAGAGGGGGAGAAGGAAGGAGGGAAGAAGGTAGCAAAGGAAGAAGGAAAGAAGAAAAGGAAGGAAGAAAAAGAGAGAAGGGAGTGGGCGAGGGAAGGAAGGAAAAGAAAGAAAGAAAAGGAAGGAAGAGAAAAAGAAAGGGAAGGAAGAGAGAAAGAGAAGGTAGGGGGAGAAAGAAGGAAGGAAGATAGTGAAGGGAGAAGGAAAGAAGAAAAGGAAGGAAGGAAGAAAAAGAAAGAGGGAAGGGAGAGGGAAGGGGGGATGAAGGTAGTGAAAGAAGAAGGAAAGAAAAGGAAGGAAGAGAGAGAGAGAAGGGAGGGGGAGAAAGAAGGAAGGAAGAAGGTAGCAAAGGGAGAAGGAAAGAAGAAAAGGAAGGAAGGAAGAAAAAGAAAGAAAGGAAACATTATATATATATATTTATATATATATAAATATTTTAAGCCTCCCGGAGTCGCTTGGATGGACAGATGGGGGCCATGGAAGTTTAATCAATAAGCTATAAAACGATGATTTTATTTTTAAATCCTTTTTTGGCAGGTTATCATTTTGGAAGATTACGCCGATCCTTACGATGCCAAACAGACCAAGGGCCAAAGAGATGCTGAAAGATTAGAAGAGAACGACGGCTACATGGAGCCTTACGACGCACAACAGATGATAACCGGTAATCGTGGTTTGTTTCGAAAGAGATCAAGATTGCTTTTGAACTCTGCTCCTTAACCTCCCACCCCCCCCACTAGATCAAATATTCGGGCAAAACGGCAGAGAAAAGTTCCCGTTGTAACTTCGGTCACTAAACGAACTGGTTGTAAGTCCAGGACGGCTACCCTCTGTGCTTAGTGGCCTCTTTGACACCCCCACCCCAAATTTTAACCTGGTTTCTAAATCCCCCACCCACCCGCCTTCTGACGCTTAAGAGTGGGAGACGTGATTTTTCCAGATCATCAGAAGTTTGCAACGCGCGGCGGCATTGAAAAGCTGCAACAATGCAAAATATCACACAAAACGAGTCAGCCAAAAAAACCGAGCTGGAGTTTTGCCGGTGTAACTAGAACTCCCCCACCCAGAGCTGAGACAGCCTGCAGAGAAAAACAGGAAATTTTAGCACCGGAAGTTGGAATAAAAACAGGCCATTGTCGGCGGGAGACACGGATGAGGCGAGAAGCAATTGGGGGGGGGGGGGAATTGGTGTCCCCGTCTTAAAATTTCCAGCCGTTTTGTGCTTCTCTGGTTGAGCCTCCGGGGTTTTTTTATTTTTTATTTTTTTTGAGGCCTCCTTGCAAACCGAGCTTCGGTTGTATGTATGTAACGGGGGTTTCTGAACCTGTGCAGAGTGTCTCTTGTTTTGGTTGTTGAAAAGAGTCCTCCTTGCTTTTCCACGAAAGAAACGCCTTGCAAAATAAACGAGTGAGAAGGCCGCGGGGATAAAGAAAAGCCCCCCCCCCCCCCCGGCTTTGATCGGAGGAAAGGTGTGAGCTCAGCTTCATGAGGACTAGAAATGCTCTAGTGGGTTTGTTTTGCGTGAAACAAGGGGGGGGAAATGAAGTTATTGTTTATGGTTTGGGTGATTCGGGGAGGGTGGGAGTGGGATTAGAGCGGAAAAAGAAAGCCGTGTAAAATAAGAGGTTAATTTATACATTTGGTTATACGACTGCGATAAAAATATCAGAATTTCTTTTTCTTTCCTTCCTACCTTCCTTCTTCCTTTTCCTTCCTTCCTTTCTTCCTTCCCTCCCTTTGCTTTCTCCTTCCTTCCTCCTTCCTTCCTTCCCTCCTTCCTTATGTCTCTTAATTTGCATATCATCTATCTTTTTTCCATTCTTTCTCATTTTCTTTCTTCTTTCCTTTTTGCTTGTCTTTTCCTCCCTCCCTCCCTCCCTCTTTCTTTCCTTCCTTTTCCTTTCTTTCTCTCTCTTCCACTTTCTTTTCTTTCTTTCTTCCTTCCTTCCCTCCCTCCCTTTGCTTTTTCCTTCCTTCCTTCTCTCCTTCCTTCTTTCTTTCCTTTCCTTCCCCCTTCCTTCCCTCCTTCCTTATGTCTGTTAATTTGCATATCATCTATCCTTTTTCCATTCTTTCTCATTTTCTTTCTTTCTTCTTTTTCCTTTTTCCTTGTCTTTTCCTCCCTCCCTCCCTCTTTCTTTCCTTCCTTTTCCTTTCTTTCTCTCTCTTCCACTTTCTTTTCTTCCTTCCTCCGCTTTTTCCTTCCTTCCTTCTCTCCTTCCTTCTTTCCTTTCTCCTTCCTTCCTTCCCTCCTTATGTCTGCTAATTTGCATATCATCTGTCCTTTTTCCATTCTTCCTTTCTCATTTTCTTTCTTTCTCTCCCTTTCTTTCTTTCTTACTTTCTTTCTTTCTTTCCTTTTTGCTTGTCTTTTCCTTTCTCCCTCCCTCCCTCTTTCTTTCATTTTCCTTTTCTCTCTTCCTCTTTCTTTCTTTCTTTCTTCCTCCCTCCCTCTTTCTCTCTCTCTCTCTCTTCATCAACTTATATTAAATGGGGGGAAAAAAACACACCCTCCTCTAACACCCAATAAACAGAGCATATTTCCACCCACATCTTCACCCACCCCTCTGTCCTTCCTTGTAGAAATCCGACGACGGGGGTCCAAGGACCCCTTTGGGGGGAAAGCTGTCCTGCTTCTGGGTGAACCAGGGGCCAAGGGAGACTCGGGGGTCAAAGTCCCGGCCTCCAAACCCCTGCAGCTTTACGACACCCCTTACGAACCGGTCGAGACGGGCTCCAAGTTCGAGATACGCCTCCCTTCGAGCGACGAAAGGCCGCCGGCCGAGTACGAGCAGCCCTGGGAATGGAAGAAAGACCAGATAGTTAAAGTTCTCTCCGGTAAGGAAAAGGGGGGGGTGCCAAAATTGGGCAGGCGGGGAGATCGTGTCCCACAAGAATATAGATTTTTATCCAGAGGAGATTTTCCTGCAGGGGATCAGTTCGAACAGAGAAAAAAGTAAGGAAGATGAATTTGGAAGGACGCTCCCTTTGGGCAATTCGTTTAAATCCTGGTTTAGTTATCATTTAAATGGGCTAAAAAAAAATTGCCCTAGTTTTATTTTATTTATTTATTTTATTTTATTTTATTTTATTTTATTTTATTTTATTTTATTTTATTATTTTATTTTATTTTATTTTATTTTATTTTATTTTATTTTATTTTATTTTATTTTATTATTTTTTATACCGCCCTTCTCCCGAAGGACTCAGGGCGGTGGACAGTCAAAATAAACATACATATAACAATATGAATAGAAGCAATAAATAATAATTAAGTCAATTTGGCTTATCAGTTAAGTTAGGATCTTCAGAATAAAATTTACACAATTAGGAAAATGGTTTTGATTGGTCCGTGAGGTGTTCCAACAACGTGTTCGGGATCGAAACTAAAATCTAAACCAAAATAAAATCTGAAAATGTCCCTTTTTACTTGTATCCGTTTCATGTATTCGTCATCATTTATACTTTTATCTGTTATCCTATATACGCTTAACAAATAAATAAATTTTTTAAAAAATAAACCACTTTTGTGTGGGTGTCTTAACTAGGGAATCTCAGCTTGTTCGTATCCTGAGCCATCAGGATGTGAACAAACCCAAACTTGGCTTCTCATCCTGGTTTGTTTGCAGAGGAGGTCAGCCGAGTTTTTCCAAGCCTGGAGATATTTGGGGGAAAGCCCCCTTTTCACAATCTTTCTCATGTCCTTCCTCTCTCTCTCTCTTCCAGTGCAGTTTGAGGGTTCGGAGAAACTCGTGACGGCTACCGAGATGGTCGTCTCGTCACCCCAGCCCCAATCCTGCCCGAAAAACTGGCCCTCCAAGAAGGTGAAGTCTCCCACAGGAATCGAACCGGGGCTGGATGGAGAGCGAGTGGATTCTGCCCTCGTCTTGGAGAAACAGCCGTAAGCCACCTGGGATCTGGTCTGGCATCCTCCCTAAATCTTATCTATTTGTGTCCTCAAACTGTTTCTTAATCTTGGCAGCTTTAAGAGGGATGGGTTTCAACTCCCAGAATTCCCCAGTTTGCATGATTTAAGACGGATGGACTTCCATTCCCAGAATCCCCCAGCCAGCATGCTTTAAGAGGGGTGGGCTTCAACTCCCAGAATTCCCCAGTTTGCATGCTTTAAGAGGGGTGGGCTTCAACTCCCAGAATCCCCCAGTTTGCATGCTTTAAGACGGATGGACTTCAACTCCCAGAATCCCCCAGCAAACATGCTTTAAGAGGGGTGGGCTTCCACTCCCAGAATCCCCCAGTTTGCATGATTTAAGATGGATGGACTTCAACTCCCAGAATCCCCCAATTTGCATGATTTAAGACGGATGGACTTCAACTCCAGAATCCCCCAGTTTGCATGCTTTAAGATGGATGGACTTCCACTCCCAGAATTCCCCAGTTTGCATGATTTAAGACGGATGGACTTCCACTCCCAGAATCCCCCAGTTTGCATGATTTAAGATGGATGGACTTCAACTCCCAGAATCTCCCAATTTGCATGATTTAAGACGGATGGACTTCCATTCCCAGAATCCCCCAGTTTGCATGATTTAAGACGGATGGACTTCCACTCCCAGAATTCCCCAGTTTGCATGCTTTAAGATGGATGGACTTCCACTCCCAGAATTCCCCAGTTTGCATGATTTAAGACGGATGGACTTCAACTCCCAGAATCCCCCAGTTTGCATGCTTTAAGAGGGGTGGGCTTCCACTCCCAGAATCCCCCAGTTTGCATGCTTTAAGACGGATGGACTTCCACTCCCAGAATCCCCCAATTTGCATGCTTTAAGACGGATGGGCTTCCACTCCCAGAATCCCCCAGCCAGCATGCTTTAAGAGGGGTGGGCTTCCACTCCCAGAATCCCCAATTTGCATGATTTAAGACGGATGGACTTCCATTCCCAGAATCCCCCAGTTTGCATGATTTAAGACGGATGGACTTCAACTCCCAGAATCCCCCAGTTTGCATGCTTTAAGATGGATGGGCTTCCACTCCCAGAATCCCCCAGTTTGCATGATTTAAGACGGGTGGGCTTCCATTCCCAGAATCCCCCAGTTTGCATGATTTAAGACGGATGGACTTCAACTCCCAGAATCCCCCAGTTTGCATGCTTTAAGATGGATGGGCTTCCACTCCCAGAATCCCCCAGCCAGCATGCTTTAAGAGGGGTGGGCTTCAACTCCCAGAATCCCCCAGTTTGCATGATTTAAGACGGATGGACTTCCACTCCCAGAATCCCCCAGCCAGCTGAGGATTGTGGGAATTACCTGCTCTGAATGATCTCCGCAAAGAAGAGAGGGAAAATCCCACTTTTCCCTTTGTTGCAGATGGTTCCATGGCTGCATCACTCGAGCCGAGGCCGAGAGCCGGCTGCAGCCGTGTCCGGAGGCCGGCTACCTGGTCCGCACCAGCGAAATGGGGCCCACCAAGTACTCCATCGCCCTCAAGTGAGTGACCGAAACCCTGCTCGGCTCAGGAACTGAGTCCTGACACCTGCATATTGGTGCTGACAGGTAGTCCTCGACTTACGACGGTTCATTTAGTGACCGAGGTTACAACGGCCCTGAAAAAAAGTGTCTTTAGGACCGTTTTTTTACCCTTGTAGCAGGGGGTCAAAATTCAGACGCTTGGCAACTGATTCGTATTTATGACCGTCGCGTCCCGGGGTCTCGGTTTTGCGACCGTCCGACCATCTGGAAAACCAGATGCGTTGAATGACAAACTCTTCCTAACTTCACATCTGCATTGATTCCCTTAACGATGACGGCGGCCGTGGAGCAAAATTCCCTGAATGGTCTCACTTAGCGACGGATCTTTGGGGCTCGGTTGTGGTCCTAAGTCGAGGACTATCTGGGTTGCCCCTTCCAAGCCTTTGGGGGGGGTTTTTAATTTTTATTTTTTAAAATCCTGACTCTTCTCTCCCTGCGCCTGGCTCGAAACCGGGGCTGGGCGCGACTGAGCTTCCTTCCTCAGGATGCTGGACTTTGAAACAAATCAAGGAAAGAAAGAGAGGGGACTTTTGTGTGTGTGTGATTGTGTACGATTGTGTGTGAGAGTTGAGAATCGGGAGCTCAGCTAAGTGGGAAGGAAGGCTGGGCAGCCCACCCAAAACAGATTGTCCCTTTCTGATTCCCTCTCTTGAGTTGGGGGGGGGGGCAACGTTCTGGATCCATCCCCTCCCGCTTGGAGAATAAAAATTAAAGAATCCCATTTAAACAGGCTTTAAAAAGAAAGGATTTCTTTAAGAAAAGAAAGAAAGAAAGCTTTAAAAAGTAAGAATTTCTTTGAAAAAGAAAGAATGCTTTAATGAGAAAGGGTTTCTGTAAAAAAGAAAGGATGCTTTAAAAAGAAAGAATTTCTTTGAAAAAGAAGGAATGCTTTAATAAGAAAGGATTTCTGTAAAAAAGAAAGAATGCTTTAAAAAGAAGATTTCTGTAAAAAAGAAAGGATGCTTTAAAAAGAAAGAATTTCTTTTGAAAAGAAAGAATGCTTTAATGAGAAAGGGTTTCTGTAAAAAAGAAAGGATGCTTTAAAAAGAAAGAATTTCTTTTAAAAAGAAGGAATGCTTTAATGAGAAAGGATTTCTGTAAAAAAGAAAGGATGCTTTAAAAAGTAAGAATTTCTTTTGAAAAGAAGGAATGCTTTAATAAGAAAGGATTTCTGTAAAAAAGAAAGGATGCTTTAAAAAGAAGATTTCTGTAAAAAAGAAAGGATGCTTTAAAAAGAAAGAATTTCTTTTGAAAAGAAGGAATGCTTTAATGAGAAAGGATTTCTGTAAAAAAGAAAGGATGCTTTAAAAAGAAAGAATTTCTTTTGAAAAGAAGGAATGCTTTAATAAGAAAGGATTTCTGTAAAAAAGAAAGGATGCTTTAAAAAGAAGATTTCTGTAAAACAGAAAGGATGCTTTAAAAAGAAAGAATTTCTTTTGAAAAGAAGGAATGCTTTAAAAAGAAAGGATTTCTGTAAAAAAGAAAGGATGCTTTAAAGAGAAAGGATTTCTTTTGAAAAGAAGGAATGCTTTAATGAGAAAGGATTTCTGTAAAAAAAGGATGCTTTAAAAAGAGGATTTCTGTAAAAAAAGAAAGGATGCTTTAAAAAGTAAGAATTTCTTTTGAAAAGAAAGGATGCTTTAAAAAGAAAGGATTTCTGTAAAAAAGAAAGCTTTAAAAAGTAAGAATTTCTTTTGAAAAGAAAGAATGCTTTAAAAAGAAAGGATTTCTGTAAAAAAGAAAGAATGCTTTAAAGAGAAAGGATTTCTGTAAAAAAAGAAAGGATGCTTTAAAAAGTAAGAATTTCTTTTGAAAAGAAGGAATGCTTTAATAAGAAAGGATTTCTGTAAAAAAGAAAGGATGCTTTAAAAAGAAGATTTCTGTAAAAAAGAAAGGATGCTTTAAAAAGAAAGAATTTCTTTTGAAAAGAAGGAATGCTTTAATGAGAAAGGATTTCTGTAAAAAAAGGATGCTTTAAAAAGTAAGAATTTCTTTTGAAAAGAAAGGATGCTTTAAAAAGAAAGGATTTCTGTAAAAAAGAAAGAATGCTTTAAAGAGAAAGGATTTCTGTAAAAAAAGAAAGGATGCTTTAAAAAGTAAGAATTTCTTTTGAAAAGAAAGGATTTCTTTTTTTAAAAGAAAAGAAAGGATGCTTTAATGAGAACTTCTTTTAAAAAGAAATACAGAATAACCGAGCTGGAAGGGACTTTGGAGGTCATCTAGTCCGACCCCCTTCCTCAAGCAGGAAACCCTATCCCACTTCAGCCAAAAGTGGTCCAATCTCTTTTTTAAAAAACCTCCAGTGTTTTTTTTTTTAACAGGGTCATGTTAATTAATATTCTTTTTTGTGGGGGGGGGCTGTTGCTCTCTCTCTCTCTCTCCATTTCCCAGGACGAGCCAGGGCTGCGTCCACATCATCGTGGCCCAAACGAAGGACCATAAATATACTTTGGACCAAGCCGGCGGCCTCTTCGACACCGTCCCCGAAGTGGTTGGCTACTACTCGACCGAAAAGCTGCCTTTCAAAGGAGCCGAACACATGAGTCTCCGCTATCCGGTCTCAATTCCAAGCAAGGTTCCTTAAATCTCCCAGTTTAGACCAGTTTTGGGAGGAATTGGGGGAAATGCGGTGGACAACCGGACAGTCGGTCCAAGTCGACGGCGGCCTCGCCGAGCCTTCGCTTCGGCTGGAGATGTCAATCCATCTTTTTCTTCCTTCTCCAGCAAATTTTATTCCCGGCGCTTCCCGATGCGATAGGATCGGACTTTTGGGTAGGAATTTTGGGGTGGGGGGGATACAGCAGGGGGGGCCTGGTTCCCTCAACTCCCCCTCCCCTTTGGCTAGACGCTGCATTGATAGGAGTGGAATTGAAAAACCATCAGTCAGTAGCTGCTCCGGCGTCCTTTTTGAGCCAAATTCTCAGAGTTTTCTTTAACGAGATTTATTGAGAAGAAAACAAGAGATTCCAGTCAATCACCACGAAAAGCCAAGTGGATTTTGCTTGGGCTAAACTGGGAGGTTTTGATTTATTATTAATATTATTATTATTTTTCTGAACGGTTTTCTTAGGGATCCGGTGGGGAGAGGCCGATCTCTTCGCCGTTCCTCCAGAAATCAAATAAAAATGCTCCAAAGAGTTTCGATTTCTTTTTATAGCATCTTAGCTCCGCTCTACCATAAACCGTGAGACGGTTTTCCATTGACAAATCATTTGTTTAGTGACCGTCCGGAGTTACGGCGGTGCTGAGGAAAAGAGATGCCTGACCCTTACTCGCACTTACGACCGTGGCGGTATCCTCCGAACACGATCAAAAATTGGGGTGTTTGTTAACCGGCAAATATTTATGACGGTTGCAGGATCTCGGGTCTGTGGGTGTGTCACCTGATCCCCGTTTGCCCCCTTTCGCATCCAGTTTCCGACAAACAAAATTAACGGGTTTGCGTAAGGGCAACAATTGAGCAACAATCCAGAAGTGCTTCTCCAAAAGTTCTCCGTGAAGATTGCTTGGTGGTCTCCCATCCCCGTTAAAAGCAGACGTAGAGGCAAGAGAGACACAGAAAATAGAAATGGAGGTTTCCATCCAGACCTTCCCTTTGATTTCAGAGACCCTTGTACACTGACTTGAGTTTCCCCTCCACCCCCCCCTTTAAGAAACACTGATCCATCCTGGTTTAATCGTGGTTTAAAAAACACAGGAGAAAAATCGGCTGCTTTCTGACAAAAAAAAAACTTCTTTTTTTTTTGGGAAAAATTAGTTTGCTGGCTGCTTTATAGCTTTGGCTATAAAACTGGAGTCAATCTGAAAAACGGATCAACCCTTTGCTCCGGGCACCCACCCACCCAGTTTCCTCTGCTGGCAGGATCAAATCCCGGCATTGTTTCCACTTCCTTCCCTCCCAATCTAAAAAAGACATGTTGGTTTTTTTGGACAAAGCTCCGTGGCGCCCGTCTGGCTTTCTGTATAGACTGAAAGTGATGGAGATATTTATTATTTTTTTTATTTTGCTTTTTTTCGGGTGCAAACTCTGAATCGTGGCTTAGCAGCTGCAGTCGTTGCCCACCATGCTTCTGCTTAGGTCCCTGCCGCATTGTGAGGAAGCACCTCAGTGCATACGCAGCCCGTCCTCGCCCCTGGGTTTTTTATTTTATTTATTTATAATTAAATTTATATACCGCCCTACTCCCGAAGGACTCAGGGCGGTGAATAGCCAGAAAGTAAAATATACATCATATGTTAACGGGTTGCAAATGGGTTGTGCAACATTGTTTTGTTAGGGGTGGGGGATACTGGTTTCTGAAGTCGAAATGGACAGCTGTGCAAAATTCAGACTTTGGTGTGAAATGGATGAAAGGCGTATTTTGAAAGACGGTGGGATTTTGAGGCAGGAAAGAGAGAGGAAGGGAGGGAGAGAGAGGAAGAAAGAAAAGGGAAGAAGAGAAAGAAGGAAGGAGAGGGGGGGAAAGGATGAAGGAAGGGGAGGAGGAGAGGGAAGGAAGGATGAAAAAAGAAAGGGAGGAGGAGAGGGAAGAAAAAAGGAAAGGGGAGGAAAAGAGGGAAGGAAGGATGAAAAAAGGAAGGAAGAGGAAGAAAAGGGGAGGAAGAGAGGGAAGGAAGGATGAAAAGAGGAGAGGGAAGAAAAAGTGGAAGAAGATAGGGAAGGAAGGATGAAAAAAGAAAGGGAAGAAAAAGTGGAAGAAGGAAGGGAAGGAAGAGAGGGAAGGAAGGATGAAAAAGGAGAGGGAAGAAAAAGTGGAAAAAGAAGGGGAGGAGGGAAGGAAGGATGAAAAGAGGAGAGGGAAGAAGAAGGAGGAGGAGAGGGAAGGAAGGAAGGATGAAAAAAGAAAGGGAAGAAAAAGAAGAAGGAAGGGGAGGAAGAGACGGAAGGAAGGATGAAAAAAGGAGAGGGAAGAAAAAGTGGAAGAAGAAGGGGAGGAGGAGAGGGAAGGAAGAAATGGAGGGAGGGAAGAAGGAAGGAATAGGGAGAGGGAAGGAAAGGAAAGGAAAAGAAAAGAAAAATAAGGGAAAAAATTAGATACAATGAAAAAATAATTCCATCCACTCAGGTTTAGAAATTAATTACTACATCTCCAAAATGTCCTTTGGCTGGAATCTTTTTTTTTTCCTAAAAGCTAAACATTTCACAAATCTAAGTTTTCAGCACAAAAGAGGGATAACGGATGAAGAAGAAAAAAAACTCTGAAAATTGAAGATTATAAAAAAACAAAACTTTCTGCTCTCAGGTTTGAGAGAATTGAGCAATTCTCTTAAAATCTCTTAAAAATAGAGCGAAGCTGCCCTCGTGTGGCCACAATGTAGAATACAGCTAGCATTTTTTAAAAAAATCATTTTTACATCTTTAAATGCCCTGCATAAATTGTATTTTCTCCCCTTAAGTATTTTGACTTTACATCCTTGTCCCGATCGTTTGCCAAGCGGGATGGCAGTTTTATAAAATGCAAACAAACCCCTTTTCTTTTTAAATTTAGTGAAAAGGGGGGGGGGGATTGGTAAAAAACATTCCTTGCTCGTCCTTTAATTTTAAATTTAAATTAAATTAAATCTCCACACAAACATCACGCTTGGAAAGCGAGGAAATCTCTTCAGTACTGATGGAATCCGTGTCTTCACACAGGCCCGAAAAAACCTCCCAACCATTTAAAAATAACATCAAATTTTTGCAACCAAATTCCTTCCTCTTTCTTGTTCTCTTTTGTTTTCTATTTTTTTTTTCCCCACCCTCTCTTTTGCATTTTCTCCTTTTGAGTATGACACCACCAAATCCTCAGCTCTGGTGTTTTGTGTGTGTGTGTGTGTGTCTTTTGTCAGAAATGTCACAAACGAGAACTTGGGGGAAGTTAAGAATTGCGACACGACAAGGGGAAGTTGCCATGTGTCTGCATCCAGAGAAGGAAGCAAGGAGTGAATGAACTCAGTTTAGCCAGGAAACCAGCTGCAAAACAAAACACCACGGGGTCAACTTAGACAAAGGAAGAAACCCCAAAAGAGTTAAATTGCAAAATATTTGAGTGTTTCAGGACCCCTGAGGTCATCCAGACAGACCCTTTCTCTTGCTCAGGCCAGGGGCCGTCCTATTCAAAAGCAACTTCCCCTCTTTTGCTCTGGGGATCACCGAGGGATTCCCCCATTTTTTTTCTCTGAAATGTAGATTTTTCTGCTTTGAATGAAAACCCGATCAGAAAAAAATCATGGGGATTGCTTGCATTCCAGGTTTCGCTTCCACAGACACACCCATAAAAAGGCTCAGCTAAAAAACCCCAAATTTGACACATATCTTGGCGGTGGTTTTCCGGTGGCGAGATAAACCTTAAGGCACAAAATCTTCCGATGCAAACCCAGAGCCTTGACTGAGAGCCAGAAACAAAAAAAGAGATTTTTTAATTTAAAAAAAGGCCAATCGGTATAGAAATTTAATAAAATAAAATAAAATAAATTCTCTACCCAGGTGGGGTCAAAACTGTTGCATATTGTTTTGAAAATGCAGAGAAAAATCAGGAACAAAGTTGGAAGGGGACTTTAGAGGTCAACTAGTCCAACCCCCTGCTCACGCAGGAGACGTACTAGGGATTCGAACCGCCAAACTGCCGACCTTTCTGATCGACAAGCTCAGTTTTCTTAGCCACTGAGCCACCTAGCCAGGCTAAATCTGGGGGCCATCGACATTTAGGGGGGAGAGGTTCAAACACCCAAGAATTCTAGAGATTTGATTTTGAATTATTTGACGGCCTTGGGTAAAAACGATTGTTTTTAAACTAATGGCTTTGAATACTAAAGTCAACTATTTTACCTGGAGGGAAATACGAGAAAGCTAAGGAATCTCATACTCTGTTGAGGTGGGAAAGGTGTAATTTATTGCAACTACTGCTAAAAAGGATAAATTTTGTCACTGCTTTAATGTCCCTGGCCTAGAGAAGCTCTGAGCATTGTGAGGTTGTATTTTGTTCCTTTATAGCTTTTGCAAGCTGGATTTGGCAAGGATCTGTTGCAGATCATTGGTAGATGACATCAGCTTGGAAGATTGGATTTAGGATTTGAAACCCAACCCCCACCCAACTCAACTCAAGTCCAATCCAAACCCAACCCAACCCAACTCAACCCAATGCAACCCAACAACAACCCAAACCCAACCCAAATCCAATACAACCCAACCAAAACCCAACTCAACTCAACCCAATGCAACCCAACTCAACCCCAACCCTACCCAACCCAACTCAACCCAATACAACCCAAGGCAACCCAAATCCAATACAACCCAACCCAAACCCAACCCAACTCAACCCAATGCAACCCAACCACAATCCAAACCCAACCCAAACCCAATAACCCAACCAAAACCCAACTCAACCCAATGCAACCCAACTCAACCCCAACCCTACCCAACCCAACTCAACCCAATACAACCCAAATTCAATACATCCCAACCCAAACCCAACCCAACTCAACCCAATGCAACCCAACCACAAACCGAACTCAACCCAAATCCAATACAACCCAACCAAAACCCAATTCAACTCAACCCAATGCAACCCAACTCAACCCCAACGCTACCCAACCCTACCCAACCCAACTCAACCCAAGGCAACCCAAATCCAATACAACCCAACCCAAACCCAACCCAACTCAACCCAATGCAACCCAACCACAATCCAAACCCAACCCAAACCCAATACAACCCAACCAAAACCCAACTAAACTCAACCCAATGCAACCCAACTCAACCCCAACCCTACCTAACCCAACTCAACCCAATACAACCCAAATCGAATACAACCCAGCCCAAACCCAACCCAACTCAACCCAATGCAACCCAACCACAATCCAAACCCAACCCAAACCCAATACAACCCAACCGAAACCCAATTCAACTCAACCCAATGCAACCCAACTCAACCCCAACCTTACCCAACCCTACCCAACCCAACTCAACCCAATACAACCCAAATCCAATACAACCCAAACCCCAATCCAACTCAACCCAATGCAACCCAACCACAACCTAAACCCAACCCAAATCCAATACAACCCAACCGAAACCCAATTCAACTCAACCCAATGCAACTCAACTCAACTCTAATCCAAACCCAAACCCAACCCAACCCAACTCAACCCAATGCAACCCAACCACAACCCAAACTCAACCCAAATCCAATACAACCCAACCAAAACCCAATTCAACTCAACCCAATGCAACCCAACTCAACCCCAACCTTACCCAACCCTACCCAACCCAACTCAACCCAATACAACCCAAATCCAATACAACCCAGCCCAAACCCAACCCAACTCAACCCAATGCAACCCAACCACAATCCAAACCCAACCCAAACCCAATACAACCCAACCAAAACCCAACTAAACTCAACCCAATGCAACCCAACTCAACCCAACCCTACCTAACCCAACTCAACCCAATACAACCCAAATCGAATACAACCCAACCCAAACCCAACCCAACTCAACCCAATGCAACCCAACCACAATCCAAACCCAACCCAAACCCAATACAACCCAACCGAAACCCAATTCAACTCAACCCAATGCAACCCAACTCAACCCCAACCTTACCCAACCCTACCCAACCCAACTCAACCCAATACAACCCAAATCCAATACAACCCAACCCAACCCCAATCCAACTCAACCCAATGCAACCCAACCACAACCCAAACCCAACCCAAATCCAATACAACCCAACCGAAACCCAATTCAACTCAACCCAATGCAACTCAACTCAACTCCAATCCAAACCCAAACCCAACCCAACCCAACTCAACCTAATGCAAGCCAACCACAACCCAAACTCAACCCAAATCCAATACAACCCAACCGAAACCCAATTCAACTCAACCCAATGCAACTCAACTCAACTCCAATCCAAACCCAACCCAACCCAACTCAACCCAATACAACCCAAATCCAAAACAACCCAACCCAAACCCAACCCAACTCAACCCAATGCAACCCAACCACAACTCACAACCTAAACCGAACCCAGCCCCAACCCCAACCCAACCCAAAAGAAACCCAACTCAATTCACCCCAATTCAACCCAACTCAACCAACCCAACCCCACGCTAAACCAACCCCAACCCAAACCAACCCCGAGCCAAGCCAAGCCAAGCCAAGCCAAGCCAAGCCAAGCCAAGCCAAGCCAAACCAAAACTCTTTATTACAATCGTTAACCAGCCTGATTTGGAAGCAACATTGAAAATAAAGTGATTTTTAGAAGTTCAGTTTGCAAACTTTGTTTAAGGACTGGAAATTAAAAACTTTGCTGTGTTTCTCCTAAACGTCAAAACAGACGTAAAGATGTGGACAGAACACAAACCAGATGCTGTCCATAAGATCATATCCAGGTTGTCAATTATTAAATACCTTTCACGTCAATCACCAAAAGGGACAACTTGGCTGGTGATTTTGGAAAGGGGAGGGGGAGGGCGATGGGGGAAAAAAAATCCCCCGCTCCAGTATCCAACGTTGCATCCCCACCTCTTCAAATCAAGACCTGCCAATCAGACACAATTTTTTTCCTTTGGAGAGTGTCCGTCGATGCTTCACTCCCCTTTCCACTTCAATGGGGTGTTAAGACCCCCCCCAACCCCCCCCCAACATGTTAGGTAAGGAAGAAGGTTTGCTCCCCGCAAAACCCACCCACCCACCCCCGCTTCCGTTCTCACCAGGCATCACCCCAAATTCAAAACAAAACAAAAAAAAAAAGAGGACAACGGATGGCAGATTTCGACACCGCTTCCCTCCCAACCTGTCGAGTTTCTCATCCCGTTTGCGAGGTTGCTCAACTGTTTGTCTTCCTCTCGAGATCCCTTTCTCACGCTTCGGGGGCAGCCCCTCCTCCCTCCTTCCCTCCCTCCCCCCCCATAGGCCTAAAACCCCAGAAAAAAACACCTCCTGCCACGTGGGCCCGGGGACCACGACGCTCGTGCATTTTTTTGATTCCACGTTAATCCTGTCCCAAATCCAAGACTTCAATGAAACATTTGGCTTGTCTCCTGCTCAAAACTCTGCAAATAATTTTGCTTGGGTTTTTTTTTTTTAAAATCTCCTGCGAAGCCCCCCGAAAGTGTATAAATCCAGCGGTTTGGAGGGGGGCCCCATTGCAAAGAAGGCCCCCCTCGATTTTTTTCCTCCCTTTGGCTCTCTTCGCTCACAAAGCAGTCGAGCCTAGCGGTTACAGGACAACCGATTTTCGAAGATTTGGATTGATGCCGGCGACAAAATTCCTCCTTGTGAGTGAGACACACTCCCCCCCCACATCCGAATAAACAGAGTTTCTCCCCCCTTTTAAAGGCATCAGATAAACTGTGGTTGTTTTTGCTAGGATGCAGTTAGTCCTCAACTTACGACATTTCATTTATTGACCGAAGGCACTGAAACAAGGGACTTTTTCACACCAAAACATGGTTTGATGGAGCTGCCAAAATTCGGACCCTTGGCAAGTGACTTGTATTTATGACAGTTGCCGTGTTCCGGGGGTTTCCTTTTTGCGACCTTCAAGTCAAGAGGGAACGGCTGACTCGCTTAGCAACCGTGTGGGAACCAAACTTTGGGCAACTCTTGTTTTCGGGGCCTCAAAGGATGTGTGGTTGGTCTCCGGGAAGAGTTTGTGAGCCCTGGATTGCAAAACCCCATGATTTAGTCACTGTCTCGGGTGGAGGAAAGAGGGAAGAAAAATAAAAACAGCTCCACGTCAGTCAAGAGTTTACACCCATTAAAGGGAGGGGGCCTCAGTTTCCAGCTGTGATTTGAAAACAAAGTTTGAAGGCAGAGTTCCCCAACCTTTATAATTCCCCGGACAGCATGCTTTAAGAGGGGTGGGCTTCAACTCCAGAATTCCCCATTTAAGAGGGGGACTTCAGCTCCCAGAATCCCCATTTAAGAGGGATGGACATCAATTCCCAGAATTCCCCAGACAGCATGCTTGTAGATGGGTGGATTTCAATTCCCAGAATTCCCCATTTAAGAGAGGTGGACTTCAATTCCCAGAATTCCCCAGACAGCATGCTTGTAGATGGGTGGACGTCAACTCCCAGAATTCCCCATTTAAGAGGGATGGACTTTGACTCCCAGAATTCCCCAACTAGCATGCTTTAATGGACTCCAACTCCAGAATCCCCATTAAGAGGGACGGACTTCAATTCCCAGAATCCCCATTTAAGAGATGGACTTTGACTCCCAGAATTTCCCAACTAGTATGCAGTCGCTGGACAACTCCAGAATCCCCCATTTAAGAGGGACGGACTTCAATTCCCAGAATTCCCCATTTAAGAGGGACGGACTTCAATTCCCAGAATCCCCATTTAAGAGGGACGAACTTCAATTCCCAGAATTCCCCAGACAGCATGCTTGTAGATGGGTGGACTTCAATTCCCAGAATTTCCCATTTAAGAGAGGTGGACTTCAATTCCCAGAATTCCCCAGACAGCATGATTTAAGAGGGATGGACTTCAATTCCCAGAATTCCCCATTTAAGATGGATAGACTTCAACCTGAGTCCCTTCGGGGAGAAGGGTGGGATATAAATTTAATAAATAAATAAATAACTCCCAGAATTTCATGCATGCTGGCTAGGGAATTCTGGGAGTCGAAGTCCACCCCTCTTAAAGTTCGGAGAAATCCCCGCTTTAGCCGTTTTTCAACAAAAGCTCGAAAGTCGAAAGTAGCACCTTATGCATTTATTCGCTCGGAAAAAAAATGCAGCTGAACGTTTTTTAACTCCAAACTTTAACAACGTTTTTAGGTTGACGTTGCAGTAAGAACCCCGTTTGCAAATTCTGCAAATTCAGCCGTTTCAAATCCTTCCTTTGGCCACTTCCTTCTCTCTCTTTCCCACAAAGGGAAAAACTGATCGGATTGAATTGTCTCAGTTTCTGGATCCTCCCATTCATCTCCTGTATAAGTAGTCCTCGACTTACAACGGTTTGTTTAGTGACCATTCCAACTTACAATGGCACTGAAAAAAGGGGACTTAGGATCGTTTTTCACACTTAACGCCCTCAAAAAGGGGACTTAGGGCTGTTTTTCACACTTAACGACCTCAAAAAGGGGACTTAGGACCATTTTTCACACTTAACGACCTCAAAAAGGGGACTTAGGATCATTTTTCACACTTAACGACCTCAAAAAGGGGACTTAGGATTATTTTTCACACTTAACGACCTCAAAAGGGGACTTAGGATCGTTTTTCACACTTAACGACCTCAAAAAGGGGATTTAGGATCGTTTTTCACACTTAACGACCTCAAAAAGGGGACTTGGGACCGTTTTTCACACTTAACGACCTCAAAAAGGGGACTTAGGACCGTTTTTCACACTTAACGACCTCAAAAAGGGGACTTAGGATCGTTTTTCACACTTAACGACCTCAAAAGGGGATTTAGGATTATTTTTCACACTTAACGATCTCAAAAAGGGGACTTAGGATCGTTTTTCACACTTAACGATCTCAAAAAGGGGACTTAGGATCGTTTTTCACACTTAACGACCTCAAAAAGGGGACTTAGGATCGTTTTTCACACTTAACGACCTCAAAAAGGGGACTTAGGACCGTTTTTCACACTTCACGACCGTTGTAGCATCCCCAGGGACACCTGATCCAAATCCAGACAGTCGGCGACTGACTCATATTTATGACGTGATCCCCTTTTGCGACCGTCAGACAAGCCAAGTCAATGGGAGGGAAGCCGGATTCACGCTTAACGACCGCTTTCCTAACTTCCCCAACTGTAGTGATTCGCTTAGCAACCTGTGTCCGGAAAGATAAAACGTAAAACGGGGCAGCCCTCCCTTAACAAACGTCTCGCTTAGCGACAGACATTTGTAGCTCCGTTGGGGGTCGTAAGTCGAGGACTAGCCTGCATTTTCTGGGAGGTTTTCGTCCCCTCGGAGTCCCCAAAGTCCGAATTTATAACTGGCCCTCAAAGTTAAAACAAAAGGGAAAAAAAAATAATAATAATAATAAAGCAGAATTGCCAAATAATGCCCACGCTCTGACCTTTGAAAAACAACACAAAGGAAAGAACATCGCACAGACACACAAACACACAAACACACACACACACAACAACTTTTTTGCAGAACCAACAGCAGCAGCCAAAAAAACCGCACCCAGCAACTGCCCCCCAAAATTAAAAAAAATAAAAATAAAAAGTGTTGTAATAAGGAAGCTGAGCTGGTTCTCTTGAGAACAACTTGGCCTTGTAACCCAAAGCTGTTTGAAGGGGTCCGTAACCCCCCCCAAGTCTCTTGCTTGCAATAAAGGGGGGGTGGGTGGGAGACAGCTTGCAATAAAGGGGGGTGGGAGACAGCCCCCCCCCAAAATCCATGCACCGCCATGTTTCCTTGCCGGGCAGAAAAAGGCACCCCGAATTCATAACTCCGTGAAAACTCCGTCGGCACCGGAAACAGAATAATAAAAACAACAGAATCACAGAGTTGGAAGGGCTCTTGGAGGTCATCTAGTCTGACCCCCCTGGAGCCCAAGCATCTGCCGTTTCTGACCAATGGCAGTCCAGTCTCTTCTCGGAAGCCTCCAGGGATGAAGCTCCCGCAACTTCCGAAGGCAACTTCTGCTCCGTGGGCGTCCCGAATGATCGAATATTTTTTTAGGCGATCTCCCCTGCCGATCAAACTCTTCCAAAATTGAAAAAAAAGATTAATTTTAAAAAATTAATTTTCAAAATTGAAAAAAAGAGGACAAAAATTGTCCTCTTCCAAACCCCAAAAGTTTAAGTTAAAGGGGGGGGGGAAATAAAATAAAAAAATAAAAATTTCTCCGGTAAAGTCAATTAGCAGATTTAACCACTTCTGCTGATTCACATCAGTTGTGTTTGGGTTGAAATCTTCATCTTTTTGCAAAAGTCTTTTTTTATTTTTCTCTCTTTCTTTTTCTTCCTTTCCCTGCTGAAAAATGGTATTGAAAACAGGCCTGAAATGACTTTTGGATCATTAGAAAATAAGCTGAAGGATGTATTTCCGTATCCCTGGAGGAGGGGGGAAAAAAATCAGTCCAAAATGTGTATTTTAAGGCAAAAAGGAAAACTTAAAACTCCTGTTTTTCGGGTAGGAAAGCTATAAAGTTCCCAGACTTGAGGTAGGATGAGTGAATGTGTCCAGTTGGATAACTGCTTTAAAAAAAATGATTTTAGGGAAAATATATATATATTTTTTAAAAAGCAGGTATTTTTGATGCAAATTGATGCAGAAATGGAAGTTTTGGGGGAACAGCAGGTGGAAATTGACAAAGTAAGTGAAGAGACCTGGGAAGAAAAAAAAAAATCTGACCAGGTAGGGAGAAAAAAAAAGCAGTGAAACTGACCGGATCTGAAAATCAGATTGAAAGAGATTTCCCATCTATCAAAAACCTTCTTTAGATGTTCCGTTCTTTGCAAGGCATTGTTGGGAAGGCCTCCCGTGGCCTGCAAACCATCATCCACAGCGTCTTTCCCGTCGTTGGCAGCCGGGATGAAATTTGTCGTCGTTGGAGCGACGTCCACCGTCGACCACGTTCTCCGTCTTCGAAGCCACTCGTCCGTGGCTCCAGAAAGAAGGAACGTCTTTGAGATATCTAGAACCCGCCTAAGTTCTTGGGGGGGGAGGGGAAATCCTTGGCAAATGACTGCAAGGCTGCCCCCAAAGGCAGGTTTTGGGGTGCTGTGGGCCACCCCTGTCTTCAGGCCGACCATGGGGTGCGTGGTGGCCCCCCCAGGGTCTTCTCGACGCAGGCCCCCCCCCCTCTCTCACTTGGGCAGCAAGAAGTAGTCCGCATTGCAGACGTGGTAGGGACCCTGGTCTGGGGTCCTTGGGCTGTCGACGGAGCTCTCGCTGAAGGGAGAGGTGGGAGGGGAGAGGAGGGGAGAGGAGCTCATGGGGGGCTCCGGAGACATCGGGGTCAGCGCGTAGGAGGCCGGCACGGGGTTGGGTTTCATGTCGCCAAAGGGCAAGAAGCCCCATTTCTTGCGGTACCTGGAAGGCCAAGCGCACCTGTTAGAAGGAAGGAGACGGGAGGGTGGGGCTGGGGTTGAGAGCCCCTCCCTGGCCTGGGTCCCCGGAGGGGGGGATGGGGGGAAGGAGAAGAAGGGAGGTCTGGAAGGGGAACCCCAAAGGTGTTTAGGGTCTGTGGGAAAGGGAGGTGGGCAAACCTCTAGGGAAGGGAGGGACGGTGAAAAGAGGAGGGAGGGAGCGAAGAAAGAAGGAAGGAAAGGAAAAAAAGGAAGGACGGAAGGAAGGAAGGAAAAAGAAAGAAGATGGGCAAGTGGAAGGAAGAAAGGGAAGGGGAGGGAAGGAGGAGGAAGGGAGGAAGGAAGGGGGAGGGAGGGAAGGGAGGAGGAAGGGAGGAAGGAAGGGGGAGGAAGGAAAGAAAGAAAGAAAGAAAGAAAGAAAGGAGGAAGAAAGAGGAAAGAAAGAAAGAAAGAAAGAAAGAAAGAAAGAAAGAAAAGATGGGCAAGTGGAAGGAAGAAAGGGGGGGAGGGAGGGAGGGGGGAAGGAAGAAGAAAAAAGGAAGGAAAGAAAGAGAGAAGGAAGGAAGGAAGAAAGAAGGAAAGAAAGAAGATGGGCAAGTGGAAGGAAAAAAGGGAAGGGGGAGGGAGGGAAGAAGGAAGGAAGGAAGGAAGGGGAGGAGGAGAGAGGAAGGAAGAAGGAAAAAGGAAGGAAAGAAAGAAAAAGGGAAGGAAAGAAAGAAGATGGGCAAGAGGAAGGAAGAAAAGGAGGGGAGGAGGAGGGAGGAAGGAAGGAAGAAGGAAAAAAGGAAGGAAAGAAAGAAGATGGGCAAGAGGAGGGAGGGAGGGAGGAAGAAGGGAGGGAGGAAGAAGGGAGGGAGGGAGGAAGAAGGGAGGGAGGAAGAAAGGGAGGGAGGGAGGAAAGAAAGGGAAGGAAACTAAGAAGATGGGCGAGAGGAAGGAAGGAAGGAGGGAAGGAAGGAAGATGGGCGGGAGAGAGGAAAGAAAAAAGGAAAGGGAGGAATGAAGGAAAGAAGGAAGAAAGGAGAGAGGGATGACAGGAGGGAAGGAGGGAAAGAGGGAGAGGAAAGGAAGAAAGAAAGAAGGAAAGAAGGAAGGTGGGCGAGAGGAAGGAAGGAAGGCCCTGCCTCAGCTCCGCTTGGCCTCCCCCCAGTGAACTCCCTCCCCCAAAACAAACCACGTTTCCTTCCCTCACCCCACTTTAAACCCAGTTTGTTCGCCCTTCCCTCTCTGCTTCCCCAACCATGTTTCCCCCCCCTGCTCTCGAAACGCAGACCCCCAAGAAGGACCCTCCCATCCCCCCCCAGTCCCCAAACTCCCCCTCCCAGCCCTCCCCTCCCCAAAAAGAGAGACCCCCCCCCCTTCTCACCGGGTGAGGACGCCGACCACCAAGGCCAGTCCCAGCGTGATGGTGACCGCCATGACGAGGAAGACGTGTAGCGGCACTCCGACAGCCTCTTCCACCACTGGAAGCAAAACAGCCCCCCCCCCAAAAAGGACACCCCTTTTAGTGAGGGCCTGTTGGGTGAGCCCACCCCTCCCCTCCCCTCCGGAGACCCCCATCAGGCCTAGAACCAGATCCCCCATAATGCTTTAGTCTGGTTCCAGGGGGGGGATTCTGGGAACGAAATCCAGGAAGGTTTTGCAAATCGATCTGCTTTCTGGCTTGCTCCAAAAATGTTTCTGTGTTCTTTTAGTTTAGAATAACGGAGTCGGAAGGGACCTCGGAGGTCCTCTAGTCCAACCCCCTGCTTAGGCAGGAAGCCCTACACACCCTTCAGACAAAATGGTTATCCAACATCTTCTTAAAAACTCCCAGTGTTATTATTATTATTATTATTATTTATTGAATTTCTATACCGCCCTACTCCCGAAGGACTCAGGGCGGTGCACAGCCATGAAATAAAACACATAGATATACAAAATTTAAAATCGAATAAAATGAATTAAATAAATTTGGCTGAATTAATACCCAATTTAAAATACCCATATTTTAAAATCCATTAAAATTTAGAATTTACACTTTAGAAAGGAGGAGATTTTGGAGCATTTACAACTTCTGGTGGCAAGGAGTTCCACTGGTTAATCGTTCTAACTTTCAGGATTTTTTTCTCCTTTTGTGCAGGGCTTGCAAAATTGGGGGGTGGGTTTCACATTAGGGGACCCCCTCCTCTCCAAGAAAGCCCCCCACCCCACCCCCACCCCACTCACCGAGGGGCTTCTCGGTGTGGCTGGAGAAGACGGAGATGGTCGGGGTGAAGGTGCCGGAGAAATTCAGATCCGATGAGTCCTGCAAGAGAGAAAAGAAGAAATCGAATCGTGCTTGGAAGAACAGGCGGTCCTCGAGTTGCGACGACAGGGGGGGTGGCCAACCTGGAGGTTGCTAATTTAGGCTGAAAAACATCAAATTAATTTAGGGGAAAAACATAAAATCTAAGTTTTCGGTCGCTGCTTCCTTTCGCAAAGGGGGGGGAGAGGGAAAAAAAGAAAGAAGGAAAGAAATTCAAATGAGTTTGAAAACGGAAGCAGCCGAAGGACGAGTCAACTGTTTTTCTCTGGCGGGACGGCCCCGGACATCTGGCTTGGGCCCCGAATAAATCATGGTTCCTCTTTTTAGAAAAAGAAAATATAAAACGATCAAAGAAGGAAAAAAAAATAACTCATGGGGAGATGGAAAGTTGGTAGCAGATTTGACGTTTTCCTTTTTTTTTTTTTTTCTTTCTTTCTTTCTTTCTTTCTTTCTTTCTTTCTTGCCTTCCTTTTCTTTCCAATTTCCTGCCTTCCCTTTCTATTTTTTCCTTGCTTCTTTCTTTCCTTGGTTCTGTCCTTCTTTTTCTTATCTTTGTCATTTCCTTCCTTCTCTTTCTATTTTTTTTTTCTTCCTTCCTTCCTTCTTTGCAGATTTTATGTCTTCCTTTTTCCTTCTGGATATTTCTTTCCTTCCTTCCTTTCCTTCTCCCTTCCTTTTCTTTCCTTTTCTTTCCTTCCTTCTCTTTCAACTTTTTCCTTCCTTCTTTCCTTCCTTCTCTTTCTATTTTTTTCTTTCCTTCCTTCCTTGCAGATTTTATGCCTCCTTTTTTTCTAGATATTTTTTTCTTTCTTCCTCCCTCCCTTCTTTCTTTCTAGTTTTTCCTTCCTTCCTTCCCTCTTTCCTCCCTCCCTCCTTCTTTCCTTTTCTTTCCAATGTTCTTCCTTTACTTTCTATTTTTCCTTCCTTCCTTCCTTCCTTCCTTCCTTTCCTTCTCCTTCCTTTTCTTTCCTTTTCTTTCCTTCCTTCTCTTTCAATTTTTTCCTTCCTTCTTTCCTTCCTTCTCTTTCTATTTTTTTCTTTCCTTCCTTCCTTGCAGATTTTATGCCTCCTTTTTTTCTAGATATTTTTTTCTTTCTTCCTCCCTCCCTTCTTTCTTTCTAGTTTTTCCTTCCTTCCTTCCCTCTTTCCTTCCTCCCTCCCTCCTTCTTTCCTTTTCTTTCCAATGTCCTTCCTTTACTTTCTATTTTTTCCTTCCTTCCTTCCTTCCTTTCTTTTCTTTCCAATTTCCTTCCTTCTCTTTCTATTTTTTTCTTTCCTTCGTTCCTTGCAGATTTTATGCCTCCTTTTTTCCTTCTAGATATTTCTTTCTTTCTTTCTTTCTCCCTCCCTTCTTTCTCTTTCTAGTTTTTCTCTTTCCTTCCTTCCTTCTTTTTTCTGAGCATTTTCCTCCTCTAAAACAAAAAAATAAAATAAAATAAAATAAAAATTGCCCTAGGACTGACTTACCTCTGAAGCGTAATGGGTTGTTTCCATCTTGAAATCTTGAGATTCTGGAAAGCGAAGGAATAAGAAAAGAAAGTGAACGGATAGATTGCCAATGGGGGGACCTGAAGGAAAATCTGAAGCGCATTCAAAGAGGGGGTCAGGAGAGCCCCATTCATTCTGGGGTTGTTGCAAATCCCTCCTGCAAATCCCTCCTTCCTTCCCCTTAATCTGGTTATTTTCCCCAAACTTTTAAGTGGTAAATCTTTTATTAAAAAAACAAACGACTTCCTAAGAAAGTTAAGGAGCGTTTCTCTTCCTTCTCTAATTTTCTCTGATTTTGCTAAAAACCAATCCGGCATTTTGCAGATGGGAGAAAAGAAACAAAGAGGCTTTTTTTTTTTTGAGGAGGGGGCTCAATTTGCTTAATTTTCACATAATTTTCTGCATCGCTTTGAAGAGGTCCACCTCCTGCGGCCCGCCGGCGGCCAGCGGAGTTGGCAGCAAAGTCGGACAGTGAGGAGGTTGGGGGCTTGGGAAAGCTCGGACGAGGGCTCTGCGTCGGAGGCAGAGAGGGGGCCAAGGCCGTCTGATAGTTATGTGCAGCCTCCGGAGTCTGACATCAGCGAGGCAGAAGAATAGCGGGAGCCTGTTCCCAGTATGCGCAGAGCTGCCAGTCGACAAGAACAGTTAAGGAAACAGGGTCGACTTGGGAGTAAGGCTTGGAGATGATTGGCCCCTCCACATTAAGACATAAAATTGAGTCCTTCGGGAGAAAGGCGGTATAGAAATATAATAAATAAATAAATAAATAAATAAATAAATAAATAAATAAATAAATAAATAAAATAAATAAATAAATAAATAAATAAGAAAGAAAGAAGCGAACGGGACGTGAGCTTTTGCAGGAAGCGATTAGTTCATCCGGCCGATTCAAGATTTGAAACTTCTGTTTGTGACTCTGTGCCGAGTTTGGCCTCGCCCTCCGGCTGGAGAAATTAGCTCCAACCTTCCTCGGAAAGGCCGTTTTATCAAGCCTTGCGGGCTGTAAACGAAAGTAATTGACCGCCGTATATTGAATTAAAGAGGTTTTGCGGGGCTAAGATTGCGCTTCGTCCTTTCTACGAACACCACGCAAAGCGAGGCCACCTTACCTGACCACGGGATGGCGACGTTTTCCCGGCTCCACTCGCTCCAGTTTCCGTGGTCAAATTCTTCCCTTCCCCGGACCTGAATGATATGGGGTGAATTTTTTATGGCGTCCACAATGGTGTAGGAGGTGACCCCGTAGTTGAGATGGACCTGAAGGAAGAGAAGACGGTGGCATCCGGTTCAAACTTTTCTCGGTGGAAGAGGATGAAACGGACGAGGAAGGGTTGCCGGAATTGGGGAGGTCTAGTTTAAGGAAAAGGAGGACTGGAGGAGGGGGATGTATTAGCGCCTCTCAAATATTTGAGGGGCTGCCCCAAAGAAGAGGAGGGGGGTCCCCCTGTTCTCCAAAGCCCCAGAAGGCAGGACGAGAAGCAATGGATGGAAACCTAGAACTTAGGAGAAACTTCTTGTGAGTGAGAACAATGAACGAGTGGAACAGCTGGCCACCAGAAGTTGTGGGTGGCCCATCGCTGGAGGCTTTTAAGAAGAGATTGGACAGCCTCTAGGGTCTCCTGTTTGAGCAGGAGGTTGGAGTAGAAGACCTCCAAGCTCCCTTCCAACTCTGTTATTCCTTCCTTCCTTCCTTCCTTCCTTCCTTCCTTCCTTCCTTCCTTCCTTCCTCCTTCCCTCCTTTCCTTCCTTCCTTCCTCCCTCCTTTCCTTTCCTTCCTTCCTCTCTCCCTCCCTCTTTCCTTTCCTTTCCTCTCTTCTCCCTCCCTTTCCTTAATTCCTCTTTCCTTTCCTTTCTTCTATCTTCCTTTCCTTTCTTCCCCTCCATCTTTCCCTTTCCTTTCCTTTCCTTTCTCCTCCCTCCCTTTCCTTAATTCTTCTTTCCTTTCCTTTCTTCTATCTTCCTTTCCTTTCTTCCCCTCCATCTTTCCCCTTCCTTTCCTTTCTCCTCTCCCCTTTCCTTAATTCCTCTTTCCCTTCCTTTCTTCTATCTTCCTTTCCTTTCTTCCTCCCCATCTTTCCCTTTCCTTTCCTTTCCTTTCTCCTCCCTCCCTTTCCTTAATTCCTCTTTCCTTTCCTTTCTTCTATCTTCCTTTCCTTTCCTTTCCTTTCTCCTCCCTCCCTTTCCTTAATTCCTCTTTCCTTTCCTTTCTTCTATCTTCCTTTCCTTTCTTCCTCCCCATCTTTCCCTTTCCTTTCCTTTCCTTTCTCCTCCCTCCCTTTCCTTAATTCCTCTTTCCTTTCTTCTATCTTCCTTTCCTTTCCTTTCCTTTCCTTTCCTCCCCTCTCTCCTCCTTCCCTTTCCTTAATTCCTCTTTCCTTTCCTTTCTTCTATCTTCCTTTCCTTTCCTTTCCTTTCCTCCCCTCTCTCCTCCCTCCCTTTCCTTAATTCCTCTTTCCTTTCTTCTATCTTCCTTTCCTTTCCTTTCCTTTCCTTTCCTTTCCTTTCCTTTCCTTTCCTTTCCTTTCCTCCCCTCTCTCCTCCTTCCCTTTCCTTAATTCCTCTTTCCTTTCCTTTCTTCTATCTTCCTTTCCTTTCCTTTCCTTTCTCCTCCCTCCCTTTCCTTAATTCCTCTTTCCTTTCTTCTATCTTCCTTTCCTTTCCTTTCCTTTCCTTTCCTTTCCTTTCCTCCCCTCTCTCCTCCTTCCCTTTCCTTAATTCCTCTTTCCTTTCCTTTCTTCTATCTTCCTTTCCTTTCCTTTCCTCCCCTCTCTCCTCCCTCCCTTTCCTTAATTCCTCTTTCCTTTCTTCTATCTTCCTTTCCTTTCCTTTCCTTTCCTTTCCTTTCCTCCCCTCTCTCCTCCTTCCCTTTCCTTAATTCCTCTTTCCTTTCCTTTCTTCTATCTTCCTTTCCTTTCCTTTCCTCCCTCCCTTCCTTCTCCACCACTGGAGCTTTTCAAGAAGAGACTGGACAGCCATTTCTCTTAAATGGTGCGGGAGGGTCTCCTTCTCAAGCAGGGGGGTGGACTAGAAGACCTCCAAGACCCCTTCCAACTCTCTTATTCTGAAGCCGCTTTTTCCCACCCCTGAGCCCCAAAGAAGATGGATATTTATTTATTTTTTTGTCGGATACCCACTTCCCACCCTCTTCCCATCCACTGGAACAAAAATAGAAAGAAAAATCTCACCTCGGAGAAAGTTTTGGAATCTTTCAGCCGGTAGCGCAGCTGGAACTGGAGGTGGTAATACTTGGAGCCCCAGGAGTTGGGGTTCCTCCAGGTGACGTGGAGTTTGTGGGGTTCTTTCTCCACGGGGTGGACCTGCACGTTGGCTGGGGGGTCTGGCTTGACTGCAAAGGGAGAGGAGTGGGAAAGCGGTGGGAAGGGGGTCTCCTGGGAGGAGAGCAAGGGGGGGGGAGAGTGGGGTCTGATCCTGCCCAGATTGGGGGCTGGATAGGAACGGAGCTTGGCTCGGCCGTCCATGTTAATTGGTTTTTAAATGTGGGATTTTAAATTTTTGGGTTTTATAATTGAGCCTATCATTTAATAATTTTAATTATTTTTAAATTTTGTCTGTCTTTGTGCTTTTAATCAGGCTGTACACCGCCCTGAGTCCTTCGGGAGAAGGGCGGTATAGAAATAAAATTAATAAATAATAAATAATAAATAAATGTGCCACCCCATCCTGGGGGATTTTTAAAGGGAAGAGGGATGGATGGATGGATGGATTGGACTGGATTGACAGACAGATAGATAGAAGATAGAGCAGTGGTGAAATCCAAATTTTTTTACTATTGTGGGCGTGGCTTGGTGTGCGTGGCAGGGGAAGGATACTGCAAAATCCCCATTTCCTCCCCATTCCTGGGGGAAGGATATTGCAAAATCCCCATTCCCTCCCCATCCTCGGGGAAGGATACTGCAAAATCCCCATTTCCTCCCCACTCCAGAGGAAGGATACTGCAAAATCCCCATTCCCACCCCATCCTCAGGAAAGGATACTGTAAAATCTCTATTTCCTCCCCACTCCAAGGGAAGGATGCTGCAAAATCTCCATTCCCTCCCCACTCTGGGGCCAGCCAGAGGCGGCATTTGCCGGTTCTATGAACTGCTCAAAATTTCGGCTACCGGTTCTCCAGAACCTGCTGGATTTCACCCCTGAGATAGAGGAAGATGAAACAGAGCGAGATGGATGGATAGATAGATTATAGACAGAGATATAAGATGAAAGACAGATAGATGAGGAAGACAGAAAGAGATAGATAGATAGATAGATAGATAGATAGATAGATAGATAGATAGATAAGAAAGAAAGAAAGAAAGAAAGAAAGAAAGAAAGAAAGAAAGAAAGAAAGAAAGAGAAGGAAGGGACAGGAGGGAAGGAACCAAAGAAGGGAGAAAGGGAGGGAGAAGGAAAGAAAGAGGGTGGATGGAAGGAAAGAAGACAATAGATATGGTAGATGATAGAGATCGATGGATAGATAGATGGATAGATAGATAGTAGATGGCAGAGAGAGAGAAGAAAGGAAGGGAGGGAGGGAGGGAGGGATGAAGGGTAGACGGAAGGAAGGAAGGGACAGGAGGGAAGGAAGGGAAGAAGGGAAGGAAAGAGGGAGGGAGAAAGAGAGTGAGAGAAAGAGGGTGGACAGAAAGAAGTATAGATAGATAGATAGATAGATAGATAGATAGATAGATAGATAGATGATAGATAGATAGATAGATAGATAGATAGATAGATAGATAGATAGATAGATAATAGATAGATAGGTAGGTAGGTAGATAGATAGACAGACAGACGATAGATAAATAGCGGAGGAAGGGAGGGAAGAAAGAAGGAAGGAAGACAAAAGATAGATAGATAGATAGATAGATAGATAGATAGATAGATAGATAGATAGATAGATGAGACAGAGAAGAAAGGAAGGAAGGAAGGAAGGAAGGAAGGAAGACAATAGATAAGAGAGATAGATACAGAGATTCTCCATTGGCCGAGATAATCTTGTGGGATTTTTTTTGTCTTCTTTTAATTGCACACCTGTCGGATGGAGACAAGGAAACTCACGCAAAATATCGGTGTGGAAGGATTTCTGGCTCCGCACCCTCCCTGCGAGGTTGGCCACGCAGACAGACACCAGCAGCAGTCCATCTTCCTCGTTGTTCAGCCCTTGAACGCGGCAGAAGAATTTCCGGGACCGGCTGTAATAGCGGCATTGTTGCTCCGTGTAGTTTTCCCCCGTGAACCTGTCCAGGGAGACATGGAAGCGGCAGCTGGCTGGGGGGGGATGATGGGAGTTGGAGTCCCACCAACCTCAAGGGAAACCCCTGATTCATCTTCTCAAAAGAGAAGTTCATCCTGGGAAAGAAGCCCAGCTGGAGTTTCCTGCACCTGGCATGGGGGTTGGACTGGATGACCTCACAGGGGTCCCACCAGTTCTACATTCCAGGCAATGCAGAGGCTCTCAAATCAAAGGAAGGAATTGCCTCTCAGCCTGAATTTTTAGCCTTCTGCTATCCCAGCCCTGCAGAGATTATTTTTGCATGGCGGTGAAGTCCTCGACGTACGACCACAATGGAGCCCCAACATTTCCGTCGCTAAGCAAGTTAAGGCCCCGTCTTACGAACTTTCTTCAGGGAATCCCTGCGATTCTTAAAAAGGAGTCCCACGGGTTGTTAAATGAATCCGGCTTCCCCATTTGTCAGGAGGTCGCAAAAGGGGATCGCCTGTCCCTGGGAGAGGGGGGAGAGGGTCACTGCGACCGTCATAACTATGAGTCAGCGGCCAAGGCGTCTGGATTTTGATCAGGTGGTCCCCAGAGGATGCCGCAACGGAAATAAGTGTGAAAAACGAAGTTACAAAGTTTTTTTTTTAGGGCCGTTTTAACTTCGAAGGGACACTAAAGTGAATGGTCGTAAGTCGGGGACTACTGGGGTTTGGCAAATGGGCAGCGCCACCTCGCATACAGACCTTTGCATCCAGAGGGAAGCTTTGGTGCGCGGCGACACCGGAGAAAACGTTCTCCACTCGCAGAGAATATCCTTGACTAAACTCCTGCGGAAACAGGTAAAATCTGGGGTCTTGGGGGGCTCTGGGGAAAAAAAAGAGAGAGAGAAGATATCAGGGTCTCGGGAAGCACTCTGCACATGCTCAGGAACCCCGGAGCAAGGCCCAAGGGCAGGAGACCGAGAAGGAAGAACCAAGGAGGGATAAAACGCCCACCTTCGACAATCAAACGGTGGGTGCAAAGGACTCGGCTGTCCTCGGAGCAGCTGTAAGACCCCGACTGATTGGGATGGACGAAGGGAAGAAAAAGGCCGGCCCCCGAGGTGTCCCACACCGCAGGGTTGGCGGAAGAGACGGGCTGTTTCTCAAACGTCCAA